TTTGTTTTGCTAGTGTATGCGCCTACAGATGGCAGCTCTGAATCTGAAAAAGCTTTTATCGGGATTTGGCACGGTGTCTTTGGTCAGCAAAAAGTACGTATGTCGTGATTCTCGTAAGTAATATGAATGCACAGGTTGGCTAGCCAAGTTCTGATGAAACCCATTTTGACGGATAATCGAGAGTGACTGCTTCAGTTACGTGCTGAACATTTTTTTTCTAGGTAGCACAAACTTTCATATCAAGAACTCCCACCGTTTGACTCAGGTCAACAAATGCAAACCAGCCGTGTACTCACTTGAACCATGTGACGTTGTTCAAGAATCTGACGGAGTGTGAAGCTTTGGTCAAGGCAACCATGAAACCCCTCTTGCTGCTCTCGAATCAGTGTTTCGGAATGCACCGTAAGGTGACGAAGTGACCATAAGTGATGCCAACAGTCTCGTTGCGATGGGGGTCAAGCTGATCCACACTCACCACGAGCCTCCTTTTTTAAATTAGCACTATCACTGATTTTTTCTAGTTATCTGGGACACTTCCCCTTTCCACAATGCAGGCAAACAGATCAGACAGGCGCTGACTGAGGACTGTATCCCAATCTTTGAACAATACAGGTGGGAGGTTATACGGACGAGTAGCTCGTTGGTGCCTTAGAGGTTATATAAAGTCACAAACCTCTGAAGCCTTAAGTTGTTCCAGGTCCATCATCCGGGGTTCTGCTTCAACTGAGGGATACAGATGAGTGACAGTTCTTGGCCAGGATAAGTGTTGTTCGAAGTATTCGGCCCAAAAGTGGAGGGATTTTTCTTTACCCAGAATGTTCGCCCTGTTCTGATTATTGATGGTTTCACTCACAGATAGTTTCCTGGGAAAGGTCACACGAACCAACTGAAATTCCCGAGAGTTCCCGACTTTCTGTGATCCTTCCATTTCCCTAGTTTCCCGCGTCCACCAGCCTTCACGGTCGGCGCGCACACTCACTTTCACTCTACGTCTGGTAATTTGTCGGGCCAAATTATGTTCGGGACAGGTGGAGACATTTCTTCGAGATTCAAATAGTGCCACTGTTTGATCTAATATGCAGTAATTGAGTGGGCTTGGTATCGTCGTGCCACAAACAAAACTCCAAGTATTGGGCAAAGTTGCAGTAATCTCCTTCCAGCATGAGTTTACATCCGAAGGTGGAACAGTTCGAAAAGTCTCCAGAAGACGATTCAGTTAAATTCGTCTAACATCCCGATCTGCCAATCTCAATTTCTAAGCGATTTGTCTGCATCCTGGACAACGAAGGGGGAAGCGACCACGGACGAGCACGTGGTCAGAATCCACGTGTGTTTTATCAGGAGTGGTGGTCAGTTTTTGATCCGCGCCGTCGGTAACTGATGTTGATGTGGTCAGTTTGGTTTCGTAGTTGGGACGCTGTTGAAGGATACCGTGTGCCCAGACGACTTCCACTGTTTTGGCGGTACTGAACTGAAATAGCCCGCTGTTAGCACGCAGCTGAATCAATCGTTCACCATTGTCCGTACGTACCGACTCCAATCCATTCCGACCACCTAAATGAGTCTCAGATGCGCTAAGTGTGCCCACTTGTACATTCAGGTCCACAGCAACCACAACTATATCTGAGCTTCCCTCTCGCCAAAACAGGACAATCAAGGCGCTTTAAAACTTGTCTTTGATGATATCAGAGCTACGGTTGTGGCGACTATCATTGGGTATCTAGTCAAGCAAGGATCCTTCCTTCCGGTGAATCAGGACGATGACATCCCTGCTGATTCTGTCGCAGCAGACTCTGGATCGTCAGAGATGTACAGCCGGGAACTAGTGGGAAGTGATAGAACGGTTAGCTCAACCACTGTGCTCGAGCTCTTGTTTCTGCTAAACAGCGCATATCAATGCCAAGCAAATCCAGTGTGAGAGTGAGAGCGGCTTGTAGTCCTGCTTGCTTCAGAGTGCGGACAATAAAAGCAGTCATATGCACTGAGCATCGAGCCCTGAAGAAAGAGAAGGGATACTTCAGTAACCGACTGTTTTCGCCTACCCACCCTACGGTATTCAACAATTAAGGCGACCCAGCTGATGGCACCCCATAACGGTTGGTTATGCATGAGTCCATTTCCGTGTGTGCAATTCATGGTTGTACATGGGCCGGGATACTGCTAGGACACCCATGCGTAAACAAGATAACGACTAGAACCCTCTACCAAAGCATCTGGCTCACAAGCCCGACCGAAAGGCAACGGTGTTTGGCAGAAAGTACAAGTGCGCTTCAATTTTTACATAACAAGTCACCACACCTGTGCTAGCCCCCAGCCTAGAGGACCAGGATACTGTGCTGGTCAGACCACAAGTGTGCGAGTGTCGCACGGACTCCACTGCAGTATAGCTCAATGAGTCGCAAAAGAACACAAACCGTTATACGATGAGTTCCAATCGCTTCGCAACGGACCAGACAAACAAAACCACTCAGCGTCAATGATCTGACATTGTCATTGTCTATAACTACTGGCTTTCATTTCCTTACTGTCCCTATCCTCGGTGAACGAAGTTGTAGTAGCTGGAACCACTGGAATTCGATTCACGGTTTGAGACGGAAAACTGAAGTCAACCGTCCTTCATCTTTCAGGTCTATACAGTCCACTTGCAGTCGTTTCTGCTCAAGAGCACCCTTGATCCCCACTGCGCTTGGATGAGACATCCCAAGAAACGGTGACTGGTAGATGTGAGTGGACTTCGTGTTGTCAGTTTCGTCCCAGATTGTCTGACTGAGCGTTTGGAGATGTAGGTACCTCGGAATGCTTGCAACAGACCAGCACCCGATCCGCTCCCTCAACCACTCTTTTATCTTTTCATTCTAAGGCTTTAAACATAATTAAACAAAATTTTTGGTTGTATGGCAGTGAAAAATCTGTGTAAACACTGTTGTTGCTGTCTCTGGTGATGATAGACTGGGTGAGACTAAATCGAAATCTCATGCTTGCAGGTGAGCCAATCGACGTCCTAGATACTTTCGAACGTAAACAATCGTATACCTGGAGAGTTGTATACATTTCAGTAGACAGGCTGGAGATGCGATCACATGTCGAATCGGGAAGGCCAGAGCAGCTGTCGTCAACCTCCGACACCCATGGTGCTGACTACAGTGGTGCGATCCATACTGCTTTATGGATCAGAAACATAGTATATACGCGCAGAGCATATACGAAGGCTGTCATTGGTTATAAATACTGGCACCAATGGTTACAAACATCAGTGTCTCCAGGGCGTTGGTCGGGTCTGGTGGTAACATGGGACTAGTAATGCTGAAATACGCCAGGAAGAAAGCAACTCTTCGTGATAGGTGAATTAATCACGCTTCATAGGCTAAGCTGGTTGGGACGTGTACTCCGCATGCCAGAAGATTGTCTTCTATGCAGAGCTCTTTTCGCTTAGCCTTGCACCGAGCGAAAGCTACCGAGAGGTGGACAGTGTATGACGTGGCAATGAAGTATGGAAACATTAACCACTAAACTTAGTCGGGTCAACAGCTGCTGCCTCTCTGGATGGGGACCCGAGTGCTCATCTAACCAATGGTTAATGACGCTGGCATAAATGGCCCAATATTGCTTGTGCATCAAAGTCATCACCTTCATTGCGTAGCCAACCAGTCCCAGAACTAACCAGATGTGCCATCGCCTCCAAGGCTTTGTTGTATGTACCACACTCTCCCGTTTTCCTTTGATCGAAACTGTAGAAGCTTGGGCCAATGTGTCTATTGTACTCGGTTTGTAGCTAACAAATTGAAATTGAAATTAATGATGATGCCTGAGGGTACCATACAAGAGCCACAGCTCGGTTCATCGCTATTTACGAGACATTTACGGTATCTTCTAAGCTTCTGGCGTAAATTACTAGCTATTTGCCGATTTCATTTGGATGGTTCAGTTGATTTTTCTGGACAAACCCTGATCCACCGAACACAACCCAATAACAACCAAAATGTTCAGAAGCTGTAAATATTCGCGCACGGTTTCAGTGAACATTCATCGCCTCCCCAGATTTTTTTACGCATAACTCACCATACCTACGTCTCGCGCGTCTGGGCTACCCAGCTTCATGCAGAGGCCGGCCACCAGAGTTGTACAGGAGCTGTGAAGCTGCGTCTACATTAGCATACATTTAAGCTTGGATATGGACACCAAATAATAATGAAGTGTGCATAAATCTAGCTTCGTGTTCAACTCTGTCTTCATTTAGCTTCATCCTGAGTTCGAGTACTTTTCCTCATTACCAAGATGGATAACAAACCGGAGGGAGGAACTACAATTTCGGCACGGTTAATCCCATTTGGTATCTTTTCGCTGACCATAAACTCAAGGAATTGGTTACGAAAGAATCTTTCCACGTTGTCACCGGTCATAATTTCCATAGATGCACTGAATGCACATTTCTGGTGCACGAACAACCAGCAACAGTCGTCGTCGGTACTCCTTCATTTGCCGTGTACTTTGGTATTGTCTTGCAGTCATAGGTCTATTATTTAAACCATATGCCCATTACACTCAGTGTGTGCGACTGATGGGAGGCTTTTGCACCAATTCACCTCACCCAGTGGGGTTAGACAGGTCTATCTCCGCACACCATATCTTCCCAACTTTTTTGATCGTTACATTGCTTCGAAACTTCTATACCCGTCGTATTGATCGGATTGTCTTCGGGACGTTCGTTCACAGACGGTAGTAGCTACGGTTATGGAAGAGCGCTTTGTCAAATACTGCCAACGGGCAATTGTTGTGGGAAAATAACTGGTAAAACGAAGTCTCATGGGTCGAGTCCATCCTTGCTTCGAAGGAAACACATGTTCAAGAGGAAAATGAGTTTAAGCACTCAATAGTGTACACTATTGAGCACGTCCTCCCCTGTGGAGAATATTGCATCGTTATCTGCTTGCGTCTCATTGCTTTGATCCCTGATATATTAATTTATTCTACTCTGTTATAGAGGCCTTTAACACTCAACAATGTTAGACTCTTCGTCTAGTGAAGAGGACGACGGTGACGGCGGATTTTCCGGTTATGGTTCCAGGCCTGTTGGTCCAACCCCACAAAATGTATCAGCAAAATTGCACTCCTGCAGAACATCCGTTTCACCGTCTGCTCAACATTCTACTTCACATGGAGGCTATAGGCATACCGTGGATTTAGATGAACAGTCTTCTCGGGGGAGTAAGAGGGCCAATGGATCCGCTGGAGGAGCTGCTGTTATGTCTCGCCAAACCTCTACCCCCTATCGTAACGTTCCTCCTCGAGAAACATGCCAGATAACAGCCCGTGATGGCTCGCGTTATTCTTCCTCTTTTAAAGGTTATGATTCAGTTGATGGCAGTCCTGCTTCCCGCCACGTTTCTCATCAGCCAACAAGAACGTCCAAGTAAGTCTTGCATGGTGTTCTTTTTTGTTGGCGACAAGTTATTCTTCTGGCGGGAGACAATGAAGATGGATTTCGCTAGGTGCCATTACCCCCTTAGCCCGAGTACCCTTTTCAGTCATTGTCCGTCCTAGTTTGACGAATATCCTTTGCTTATCGCACTCATTTTGACTTAACAATTGCCATATAGTATGCAGAAGCGTCCATCTTCCTGAACTACCCAGGTCACTTACATCATTCGATACATAAGCTCGATTAGTTAAACTTTAAGATTGCTGCAATGTGCACAACTGCGTACGCTCTTATTCTTGAAAGTTACTTTGATTTTGCGCCTTATACGTCCATCATTCTTGATTCGGCTTCGACGACCTTGCAGTTTCTCAGCCATGTTGCTTCTATGCCACACTTGAGTAGTTCAAGAAAATATGTCATAGTTGGCTGTTTTTATAGATTTAGCCCATTACTCCATGATTCGGATTCCGACGTTGGTTACTGCCGGGCATCAACAGGGACCGAATGCCTGTTCTTTGGGTATAGTTAGCTATAACTTCATTCGAAAGCCACATCCAAGCTCAAATTACCACAATATTGTCCGGAGGTGATTATCACATAAAGCTATCAAAGTCAATTCGTACTTGACTGTTATTCTACTATTTTCTATCATTGATGAACGAAACCGTAGCAAACGAAACCACTGTACCACGTCACACAGTTTTTATCTGAACGATTGACAGAATAGCTGACTCTTGAGTGTTTTTATTTAGCTTTGCTGCAACCAGCTCGTACGTGCCCATAGACCGGTTCAGGTTTCATAGTCATTCAGGGACACCCGTGATGCTGCTCCATAAACACTGCAGTGTTCAGGTTCCATAGTCATTCAGGGACACCCGTGATGCTGGAACCCAGGTGGAGCCGGTGTTTCGTTGAACTGCACATGTGACGTCCTGAATGACAGTTTTTGTCCGAGGTTGACCCTATCTTAGCTGCACAAGTACGTTTCCTTGCAGATCACCCGGAGAAATGTAGGGAATTGAAGAGTGTCAAACTCATATCACATACCAAATCCGCTTTGTTTGTCTTTAGCCCGCCTGTCTGTGCGATATGAAAACGTATTCTGAACCACATACCCTTTTGACTAACTCAGTTTGATAAATGTTTTTAGGCTTTCAAGTCAACACTCAGTACCTGAAACAGAGGAGGTCGATATGTCCTCATCAACCGCGAGCCTCAATGCGGCAGCTCCCCCCTTTAACCAAACAGCCACTGCTACTGGAACGCGTGGTAGTAGTAGCTACAGTGTTAATAGTACGAGCAGTAGTCCTTACTTGGACCAGAAAATCAGCAACAGCCCCTCAGCAGCTTCTCAAAACCAGGAGGAAATGGCGGTCTCGCATCCTCAACATCAGCAGCAGCCAACTTTGTCCAAAGATCCAGCCGCTTTGGAGTTAGAGAAAAACGAAAGGGAGGAGCAGGAACGACGCAGATTATTGCAGCTGTAAGTGATCCAGACCTGCATCGTCGAGTCAACTGGCAGATCATGTTGAACTGAATGTCGTTGGTCTTGTTGTTTGCGTAAAATCCGTGTCGTCCTGCTTTTTGTGTACAGAACAGGTACGTCCTAATCCTATTCGTTTACGTTCCGTGGCGTAGTTTGATGTTGTATGCTTGGCTTCTCTGTTTTGTCCTTGTATGATAGTTTTGCTGTTGTACTTTAAACCGAGTTCAATTCGTCCAATAGAATGATGGTTCCATGCACATGGACCAAAGTCACACCGAACTTCTTGTTCAGTGTGGTCTTTTTCCGACGTCATTATGAATAAAACAGTGACATTCAAGCGGTATAGCAAAGGTGATCAGATGCATTGCATTTCAGCTATTTTTTCTATCAATAAAGAATGTACATCCCTCTGTTCTGATCCCCATACTCCCATTCGCGTTTCTCCTACCCACACCGACAAGAAGACTAGTCGTGCCCAGCGGATCGATATTAGGTATTTTCTTTTTTCCATGGATTTGTAAGCGGTTTCATGAGTATGTAACTACCACTCTTCATGTACCCCTACTGAACAGGTACTTTTTCAAAATCTTTAATATCGCGAGATCGCTCATGTGTGAAAACGAATATTTTCAGCGTAAGTGAACCGTTTTGTGGCTTTGGGATATGAACTTAGCTTCAGACCGAGGATTTAGTATGGTGGAACTTCAATCACAGACTTTTAGACCAGTAATTATGTGCCTCATCCCCTGAGCTATCTCGAGCTGTCGTGTAAATATATCTAAACTAACTTACTTTATATGTTTCAGAAGTTTCCGTTTGAATGACCAATTTTGGGGTGGGGAAAGGCCCACGTGAACACTAAAGCTTTTGCACTTTGTCCTACATTATCTTAGTGAAATGTTGATGTTTATGCCAGTTGTGGGATTTCGCCATTAATTTGTGGTCTTCACATCCCTCCAAATCATCTGATTTTTTCGTTTAGGCCGACATTGTTGTTTTTTGTGTTTGAATCCATGCCAATCTATTCATCGAGTTATTAGTCATTACCTTTTATCACCTGATGCAATCTATCTCGTCCCCGTAAGGCAGCCAACAATTCCTCGTCTAAAATCAAGAAGACTGGAGGTATACCAGTGGCGAAATATATTCACTTGCAGATTTAGTTGATGTCAACGAGAGATCCAAGTGAGTCACAACTGAATCAGTTGTTTATGGTGTTATGTGAAGAATACCACGTAGGATTATAATCGAGTCTCAATAACAAATGTCTGCCCAGTATGTTAACTCCGTTTTTTGTCTGGCAGAATCCAAAACTGCCCCTCTTACCAAATGGGATGCATTAATGGCAGCGAGCTCAAGATAGACGGTATTTCGACTTTTTTCATCCTTTGAGACTTGTTCAACATTGCATGTCTCATCTGCATGGGTTTCACTTTGAGTTCACCAATGTTATTTGTTTCTCATCAGTACCGGTTGTCTGATTCCTGTCCCCCAAAACCATCCAGGTATGTATTTGTCGTACGGTGTATTGCCTATCCGTTCTATTCGAAACCGCCAACTGACTTGGTCCGGCGATATTTGAAGATTACCAAACAGCAGCTGACCACATTCAAGGAACGTTTCCAAGCCTACCTAAACGGTGAACTGGATGTGGTCGGTGACGAGGCATTCACCAACGCAATTCAAAGTTATTATGAGGTGAGGCAGTCTTCCAATGGGAGTGATTCATTTTGATAGATAACCGTTTCCTTACCTCAAAACGTGTTCTTTCGGGATGGGACCATGGCAGGCATGATTGCTTTTCACCTTTTGCTTCTTTCTTCAACCGAAACAGACTGGTGAATCATTGTGGTTTCTGGAAGATTAGTTGTGCTTCCATCCTGTGCAGTGCGTGTATTTCTGTATTTGTCATTATTCGACTTTTGGTGTGGTGCAGTTTATTGCCCTCCAATCAGTCAAGTGGGCTCAGGTGCAAAGTATACATGGATGTCGGTACTTAGTTGGTTTTGAACCACACGAATTAAAAGAATTGTGTGTCTTACTGCACCCTATGGTTTATAATTGGACTTCATTATGAACACTTGTCATTCCATAATCACTTTTCTGATGCTGTTTTTGATACTTATCGTGTGTTATCTGCAATTCCACACAATCTGAACTACACATCGTATCCGATCTAGCAAAAAGAACAATTAACAGGCAGTTGCCTTCGTAATGGGATTCTTGACATCATCGAGTGGGTGAATAATTCAAACTATGTGACTTTCAAGGCTTCGCCTTAAGAATCAACGCAGCACCAACCAGGAGGATGGTGAGAACGAAGTGCACTTTGTACGCACAAAACGTTGCTCTTCGTTTATCGTCCGTTGGATGGGGCCCAACTTTAACCAACTTACTGCTAAGCCTTTGACTATTTGAAATTGTTTTGTGTTACCTGGACTAGTCTTCAACTTCAAGAGTGACTCAACTGTAGTGAAGGCTTGCATACTAGATTACAGCCTGTGGGCGGTTTTCTTAACTCTGTATATGAGTAAACCCTCTTATGGATAACCGTATTGTTCTACCGATGTCAGCACTTTAAACCTTTAAACTTCGTCTACAAACATCATAGGAATGAATGTTTGTCTGTCTTCCTAGACTACTTGTCGAACTCTCCTACACCGTGCCACTGTAAATCGGCTTTAGGTTTTTATTCATACCTGGTGCTGATAATAATAATAATAACAATAATAATAATAATGGTGGACATAATGTGATCGTAATAGCAATAACCTTACAGTAGCAACTAAACCGCCCTACGGTTTAGTTGATAGGGATATTTGAGTGGCGGGGTGTGACTGTTCACTTGTTGAGAGGCCATTGTCATAGATGATGAATCCTCAAAGGGGACCATTTCCGTTAACCCCTGTGATCAGAAAGGTACCCAAAAGCCTTGTGAACAGTATGGTTAGTTAAGCTCTCGAGGGTTCTGTTGGCATTCGTTTATTGTTTGTGTTTAACGGACAGGCTCAGCTACCGGATTGAATTTTGAACTAGAAGACCCAGTGCTGCGTCCTGGACCGCGCCACGCGCGGCTACACATACAGGGTGGAGTAATTTCATGTTGATTGGGTGGGATTATCAGATAACTGAAACGTGGGCTGTGGGTGATACCAAATACGCACTGTTTTACCAAATACTCTTTAAACACATCCTTCTCAGTCTTCCTCTCTATTCGGGACTCTCTTCTTCCCTGTAACGGAGCACAGATCGATGATAAGCTACTTGATCAATTTCTTTGAAACACTTACTCTTTGTAGAAACTTGTATGCGGTTCTGCAGCACAGATGAAGATGTGACAGGAGACTGACCATGTTTCGGGATGCGTAACTCTTATTCACGGACGATGTTTGCAGCATCAGTAGAATAGTCCATTTGAGCATTTTCTTTTTTTTTGGGGGGGGGGATTCACAGGCACAGATTTCGTTCTTTCAGTCCCTCTCTTTCCAAGGCACTGATCGTGGTCTAGGACTCAGGAGACGATAGTTGGAAAATTGAAGTTAACTATATGAAGGCGCGTAAAACAACCACCGCGCTGCTGAAAAAAGCAACAAGTCAATGGATGTCGAACCAACGGCTTCGACTTAATAGGCTTTAAATGTAACATTTGTGGTTATATTAGTTTCGCACTCCATGTACTCAAAATTGTGAATACTTCTCGTAGACACGTGTACTTGGTGCTTCAGCACCAGGGAAAACCTAGTAACGTCAATATTCTTTACGCTGTGATTGATTGTATCGTTTCCTCACCATGATCAGACGGGCAATCCTGCATGAATCTCCTCCAACTCATAGATATTTTCGAACTGTCAGCTAGCGTATTGTTAAAATTTCGTCAGAAACTAGGCACACTCCATTGGAACAAACAAGAGACACTAATCAGTCCCACAGACAGAACGGCTCATCTAAGAGGGACCCTGCTACTATGTCACAGTTTCTCTGTAATTTCTTATGCTCCTAACATTGGTCCTAATGCGTGAATTTGTTTCCAAATGAGACCGGGTTCTTATATTTCTACTATAACATTGTATATCAACGGTTTTTGAAAATGAGTCATTGAATTAGCCCTAGTTCTACTTCCAGCCTATCTGCCTTGTTAGTTTCTGTGGGGCGAGATGGACCAAGTGGTTAGAGAGCGAATTAACTGACCAGAAGGTCCGTGGTTCGAACCCGACTTCTGCCTCTCGACTTCCCCTGTCTAGGCTTGGGTGACCTGGTAGTATCCCAGCCCTCGTGACTCCTTCGTGTAGCATGGCAGCTAGGCACCGAAAGGGTGCTACAGCTGTATCTGTGACAAATAGTCATCATCATCATTCTTGATATCAACACCAAAGAATAACACTAGTGCTCCACTACCGTATAGCCATGTCTGTTTGTTTGAAGGACGCGGGGGGCCTTTGACCCACAGGACCTGACTGATCCTTTCGAGGCAACATCATCTGACTACTTTTATGTCGAACATTTCTTTAGATATTTCTTCGGAGCGATCGTGTATCCAGTATGGTTCGCGGAGGTGGATGTTCGATGCACGACTTTCGCGAGGTCTTTCGCCTAAATAGCGAGCACCGAGTCCGATGTCTCCCGCAAATCGAAGGCCTCAATAAATCCAACGTGGTTAGTGCGTGGATGGTGAAGTTTGATCAGATTTGTCGTGGTGGAGCCGGACCATCCACGGTGCTGCAAAAATTGCAGGTCCCTCAACCTGAACTGGTCATGAGTAAGGAACAATTATACGAACTCTTTCAGTCCACTTTGGGGGTAAAAAAGTATGAGCATCAAATTTTGTACAACGCTCTCCAGGTAAGTCTGTGTTTTTCTGTGCTTTTCGGCCACTTGTACGATACGTAAAGTAGCATTGTATCCTGTTTTGTGTGAATATTTTTCCCCATTCTCAGTTGTGTGTGATTGGCAGCCGTGTCATCCACATTTAGGACACCTTACCACCTATAAACTTAACTCTGCTTCTTCAATGGCGCACAACAGCTAGAAGCTACTTAGTACACTACATCAAACGGAAATCGACCCTTGTAGGCTGATTGAAATCTGATAGCCTCCTTTTGTACATGCATTGTTGTCGTAGAACTACCCAATTTGTCGATCGATCACAAATGCATAACTAGTTTTAGTTGAGTTTGAAGCTACAGAGCCATTCAATAGACAGCGTGACAAACCGAGAAGCTGAATGCTAGATAACGCGCCCAAAGGAGCTACTGCTGTTGTAGATCACGCGTCACAAAAAACCCAAACCACGTGACAGTTCCTGTCGGAGCTACTGTGTTGTAGATCACGCGTCACAAAAAACCCAAACCACGTGACAGTTCCTGTCCCACTTGTAACCTTAGCCGACAACATGTAACCTACAACGTCCCATCCATTTTCGTTCACGCGGCTACCACCTGTGTCACATGCCAGGCTTACGAACTTCAACCACATCAGGTCAAGTTGTATCCATGTTCGTGCAAACTTCAAACACGAAAGGACACCCCTCTCTATACACTGCACACAATACATAGGCATACAACTCGGCCCAAAACACACGCGCGCGCGCAGGACAGGAAGTCAGCTGAACTCCACAGGTCTCCACGGCTAACTACTGAACACGTGTATAGGCGACACTGCAGAGAAGACACATCTCACGTCCGGACTTTTACTCAGGAGCTCTCAACAAGTGTCCTCAAACGATAAGTCACTTTTTAGCTTATTTCACTTTTCTCATTGCATCTATTTTTATCAAGTGCACCTAACTATTGTATTCATCATCATTCTGGCCAAACAGACAGTTGTTATTGCTTGTTAACTCTGATAATCAACTTATTTATGTTACGACTAGAGCACTAACAATTTCTTTGGCCTGATAAATGTATTGCATAAGGAAACTGAGTCCTACAAACAGTAAAAGTGACGGATAGTCAGGCATACCAGTTTCCGATGGCTACCACAGTGATGATGAGTAGATGGTAACGGAAATATACAGAAGGCTGAAAAGTGGACGAGTTGAGATGTGGCGGTATCTTGTTTACCATGTGCAACCAGCCCAATGAAGATGAGCAGAGGCGGCTTTAATGTTGTATGTTATTATGATTGAAAGTGAGGGAATATCTCGTGCTGGAGGAACTGGCATGGTATGAGAGTCACATTGGGCTCACCAATTGCTAGTGCTCTAGGTGTAACATAAATAAGTTGATTATCAGAAGTTAACAAGCAACAACAACTGTCTGTTTGGCCAGAATGATGATGAATACAATAGTTAGGTGCACTTGATAAAAATAGATGCAATGAGAAAAGTGAAATAAGCTAAAAAGTGACTTATCGTTTGAGGACACTTGTTGAGAGCTCCTGAGTAAAAGTCCGGACGTGAGATGTGTCTTCTCTGCAGTGTCGCCTATACACGTGTTCAGTAGTTAGCCGTGGAGACCTGTGGAGTTCAGCTGACTTCCTGTCCTGCGCGCGCGCGTGTGTTTTGGGCCGAGTTGTATGCCTATGTATTGTGTGCAGTGTATAGAGAGGGGTGTCCTTTCGTGTTTGAAGTTTGCACGAACATGGATACAACTTGACCTGATGTGGTTGAAGTTCGTAAGCCTGGCATGTGACACAGGTGGTAGCCGCGTGAACGAAAATGGATGGGACGTTGTAGTGTACATGTTGTCGGCTAAGGTTACAAGTGGGACAGGAACTGTCACGTGGTTTGGGTTTTTGTGACGCGTGATTTAGTGAGTGGTCTCTACAAATACTGTCCTCCCAGCGGAGGAGAATAGTAGGTGCTGATGAAATGGTACGTGATATGAATCTGCGACGATGAACAAAACAAAGCACGAGGGCGACAGCGGACGCGGTAATCGGATTGAGTAACCGCTACAGTGCTATCCCGTGATCTACGCAACAAAACGGCCGTTGAATCACATTACCTGAGGTTCATGTTGCTTGTTAACTTCTGATAATCAACTTATTTATGTTACACCTAGAGCACTAGCAATTGGTGAGCCCAATGTGACTCTCATACCATGCCAGTTCCTCCAGCACGAGATATTCCCTCACTTTCAATCATAATAACATACAACATTAAAGCCGCCTCTGCTCATCTTCATTGGGCTGGTTGCACATGGTAAACAAGATACCGCCACATCTCAACTCGTCCACTTTTCAGCCTTCTGTATATTTCCGTTACCATCTACTCATCATCACTGTGGTAGCCATCGGAAACTGGTATGCCTGACTATCCGTCACTTTTACTGTTTGTAGGACTCAGTTTCCTTATGCAATACATTTATCAGGCCAAAGAAATTGTTAGTGCTCTAGTCGTAACATAAATAAGTTGATTATCAGAGTTAACAAGCAATAACAACTGTCTGTTTGGCCAGAATGATGATGAATACAATAGTTAGGTGCACTTGATAAAAATAGATGCAATGAGAAAAGTGAAATAAGCTAAAAAGTGACTTATCGTTTGAGGACACTTGTTGAGAGCTCCTGAGTAAAAGTCCGGACGTGAGATGTGTCTTCTCTGCAGTGTCGCCTATACACGTGTTCAGTAGTTAGCCGTGGAGACCTGTGGAGTTCAGCTGACTTCCTGTCCTGCGCGCGCGCGTGTGTTTTGGGCCGAGTTGTATGCCTATGTATTGTGTGCAGTGTATAGAGAGGGGTGTCCTTTCGTGTTTGAAGTTTGCACGAACATGGATACAACTTGACCTGATGTGGTTGAAGTTCGTAAGCCTGGCATGTGACACAGGTGGTAGCCGCGTGAACGAAAATGGATGGGACGTTGTAGTGTACATGTTGTCGGCTAAGGTTACAAGTGGGACTGGAAACTGTCACGGGTTTGGGTTTTTGTGACGCGTGATTTAGTGAGTGGTCTCTACAAATACTGTCCTCCCAGCGGAGGAGAATAGTAGGTGCTGATGAAATGGTACGTGATATGAATCTGCGACGATGAACAAAACAAAGCACGAGGGCGACAGCGGACGCGGTAATCGGATTGAGTAACCGCTACAGTGCTATCCCGTGATCTACGCAACAAAACGGCCGTTGAATCACATTACCTGAGGTTCATAAAGGCGAGGAACTCGAGAGTCTAAATAAGCACACGAGGCGACTTATCTAGGTTCGCAAGCTTTCGGTCATAGCAAATTATTTGATCAAGAGGTCGTGATCCCTTCCAGGAAGCAAACCATATGGTGTCTTTTGATTCAGTCAAACCATGCGAAGCAGTCACGTATGGATTCATGAAGGTGGTTGTGCCGACTGTCGGTCGATCGATTTCACCCGAGAACTCGGTGGTGGTTAGTAATATTACTCACTATTTTCCAAACTATCACCAACCGTAAAGTTAGTTTATGCTATGGTGAATCTTTTCTGTGCGCTTTGACCACCATCGATATTCAGTAGGTGGATATCGTAGACTTCATTTGGCCGCTTAACGAATCTTGCTGACATCGGTGGTCAGCTGTTCTTGGATTAGCTTAGTCTTTAATTACAGGTGCGAGGACCGCCCATCGGATGTAGTTGCTCCAAGAAATACGCCACAACCTCAATACCGAATGGATAATTTGTATTCACTTGGTCGTCGTGTCCTACAAACAGGAAGTCCGATCTTACAATAGTAGAACTTTTACACGGCCAGATTATGATAGCATACCTTCAGTGAAAGTCTGATTCAATGGTGCTGGGGACCAAGGCCCGAAAAAGCCTGTTCATGTATCATTTTGGTTAACCGAACTCCGGAAAATAACTTAACATTGTCCACGGAGGAATTAAAGTGAATTAACCTGATTTCTTGAAGAACTCCTGAACTCAGGAAAACTGGTTGGTGCAAGTTGCGTGAGGCTGGTGAACATGTATATGGACGGAGAGTTTTGTATCTCGAGTTGCAGATTTTTTAACCATGTGGTTTTCCAACGCTCCATGACTCAAACGCACTGTTATCAACCATCTCACTCTAGACTGATTGTCAGCCACCTTGATCGTGTCTCACTCACTACAGCATTTAAACGGCAATGGTTTCACCCCTTTGACCATGGAATGAATAGGTGGAGAACCGCAAAAGCCGAGGCCTAACAAGCCAGGTGAACCGATCACCGATAGTTGCACATAGATTGACCTGATTTGCCTCATTCCTCTACCGCTGTCCAACTATTCTGACTTGCACAAACAACGTGAAATGCATCAAACTAAACTAATGCATTGATCTCTGCCGAACAATCGGCTTGCCAAATCCGAACCTCACTCATTCAATTAATATGCGCTTCTGAATCAAGATGCGATTAAGAATCAAACGATGAAACCACGGGCCCGGCGCTAAATTCAAATTGGAATTTGGCTTATACCGTTCGGTTCCTGCCAAACTACCCATTTCCCCCAAACGACACAGAAGAGTCTGTTAGTCCTAAAGGAAAGGGAATGGCTAACAATAGTTAATCGGTGATTTTTACAAACATTACGAGCATTCACAGCATTCATCCAAAACATGCCGAAAAAATATGCTGATTTAGGCTGAAGGAAGTTTGTAGATTGGCGTGCAGACAAAGCACCCCACTCACAGGATGATTGAGACAAAACTGGAATACCGCATTGTTGTACTAGTTGTACTAGTACGCGCTTTTCCTTTACGAGAAGCAATTAAACTGCACTGACTACTCTACATCTCGCACACTTAACCTTTGAAAGAGCTGTTTCTTCCGCGCAATGTGGAATTACTCAGTAACGTAAAATAACTCAGCCAGGTAAAGTACTACCATTTTACTGAGGTAACTTAGTCGGTAATTTAGTGATGGCTTTATGCGGCTGTGCCGTTCTTATTACTTTTAACTGAGTGTTTTATCTAAGTAGCGGTTTTTTTAGCAACACCAAAACGTTTTTTGTGGCAAGGCTTCTCATGCTGTAAATCTAGCAACTAATGGTTTGGTTTCCCTATCCCACATTATACAAAAGACCTTGTTTTGGTTTAACAAAAGACATTATAAAGATCAATGTAAACTGAAGCTGTGCTGTAGACGTAATGCACTACTCATAAGGTTGTTGAAAACTCTTCGACAAAAAATATCCTAAACGAGAGATTTAGTTGGGTTTCAGGTGAATCTTACGTCAAAATCAACTTGGTATGCTGATGGGTGTATTTCGCCAAAGACGTGCCCACATAGGCTTTTAATCGGCAAGCTTATGCAACCAGAATGAAGCCGTCATCACGCATCTTGTTTTACAGCACAAAACCCGGTGAATACCGATCACTCTGCATGGAGTTCTACAGCGAAATCCGTTTTGACAATGTTTTTAGAAAAGCTGTCTCAGGACTTCACTGAACGAGCAAGATACATCTTAGGTCAGGCAAATGCCACCTTCTATAGGATTAACCAGATGGTCAGAGACTGATTGATCTGTAAGCCTAGAGTGCATATATGGTATATCTGGAGTGGCCTGAGACTTACATCGGGTTTCTTTAAACACACTGCAAGCTTGATTCGACTGCATGCATCGGCCTCGGCGAACTTAACAACATTGAGTTATGATGGCGAACGCTGAGGTAAACGATTTGATGACCTATGAGCAAAGAATGTTTGCAAATTGATGTTCCTGCAAGGATTCTGGGTTTCGGTGTTCTGGACCCAAACTTTCTTCACTGTTACATATCATAGACGCGGTGGGATCTGACCCATATCAGCTTGTGTTTTCCAATTGAAGGAAGTGTCAACCCGTGAGTCAGGTTCATGGCGGATATCTTCACGACTGTTTACGTCCTTTTCAACCCAAAAGCCCGGGGGTGAGGTTATTTGGGCAGTTGCGCAGCAATCGATCCATATCGACAAGTTCCTTCGAATTTGTGTTCACCTCACTTTGCTGTAGGATTGTCGCCCACATAGTGTATTGGCACACGCACACACAGCTGAACCATAGTTCTTTATGCCTGGGTGATTAAATTTCATTCTTCACTTTTCAATCATAATTTCTTGAGTGAGGGTCGTTCATTTGCAGTATTTTCTCAAGTGGCATGCATACAGCCTACCGTTTTATTTACTTTGCATTTAGATGTCAAGTGGTTTTTGTTATAGAGCACGTCTTTCCAGTTTTGCCCCGTTCTGTGTTGATGGAGTTTCACCACATACAATCCCATTCATGTATTATCCGTCCTCAGTCGCATGGTCTAGAAAGTCAGACTGTTTGATGAAGCTTCGACTTGGGTTGTAGTGTTTTCCGGTTTCTTCATTGTCCCTTCAGAAATAAGCATCCTCAGATAGAGCTCCCAAGAAAGAAAAAGAAACAAAGTGTTTTTTCTTCAAGTTCAGTGAATTCCAAGTGTTGTAAATTTTTCGCTTCCTCAAACCAGTGTCCTTGTTTGTTTCCTTATCAGCTTGATAACGCTGACGAACAAGCCGCTCAAGTTCGGCGTGAACTGGACGGCCAGCTTCAAATGGTCGAAGAGCTATCCAGGGTAAGCCACATGCCGAGTTCCATGCCGTTTGAATAACGGCTCTTATCTCATCCCTTTTGCAATTGACGTCTCATGGGGATGTAACTTTTTAAGTATAGCATAAACTATCCGATAAGATTGTTTGAATTGTGGGTGGGCAAGCGAGGGTTTTATTTTTTCGGTTTCCCCCGAGAAACTTATCAGAACTTTACAAAGATGAGGTTATCATGTGAGTTGATGTGGGTGATGCTGAAAAGTCGATAGCCTTGCCATTGGGTGATGACGACCATATGGTCGGCGTGGATCTACGGTTGTTCATCAGTAGGGGGGTGGACACTAATTTGCGTCTTGGTGTCTGCTGCCTCTGAATCCAGTACTACTGGTAAGTACGAAGCTGGAACAGACGATCATTGGAGGGTCCGTGGTTCGAATCCAACTCGATTGCTCTTGTCCAGGCTTGAGCGACCTAGGCCCTCACGCCTCCTTTGGGGGCATGGCAATCATGCACCGAAAAAATGCTGCAGCTGTAGGACATTAAAAAATCGTTAGTATCACGGTTAACACCTGAGGCTTAGTTTCTACATTTAACCACGCAACCGTATGGGTTCAACAAACCGTTCAGGATAGTGACGACGAACCCAGTGACTTATCAGTTAGGTCCGGATATGAATGCTCGTTTCTGTGACCATAGATGTTGACACACTCAGACAACTGAATTATCATCGGGCAAGTGCAATAGCATTTATGGGAGATGGAACTTACCGATTACGTTTTCAAGGATAAAACCTCATGGTCGAGCTGGATTTCATATTTCCCAGAGGCATTTGCCCATGGACCGGTGATCTGCTTAGAATGCAACTAGGGTGGTGGACTATTGTTGAGTGCTGTAGTTTGGAATAGACCAAGTATACTACCCAGTTAAATTGACTGACTGATTGCGGCTGTTATAAATCGGTGGGAATTTAGACTGAACGATGAATAAAACGACTACGGCCGATAGTCTATCACCCGTTAATCACTCATAATTTTCTCATGTGGCTAACCGAAGCTTTGCGTCTCTTCTCTCAGGTCGTTCCTATTTGTGGCCTGTTTATTTACCTTCGGCCCTCATAAATTGGGCACCCTCTCATGGAGGACTCCAGTGAACGGAGTCTTCTCCCCTAGAGATTTCGCAACAGCGTGTCCGCTGAGGGATGACTTGGACTGCTATTCCCTTGAAAAGAGTCTACCCCTAGATGAGGCCAAATACACTGTTCCTGATTGTCACTAACAATAATAATATTTCTAAGCTATCTATCGCAATATCCTGATAGCTTTTGTTTGGTGTCATTGGGTCATTCCGAAATCCGTCCTGTGTTATCACACCAAATGATTGTTTGGAGCGTATAGCTGCTTCATCACACCACTGTATCTTTCGTATCCTCAACAGGTTTGACGAACCATTGCTTCTTAGTTGTCTCGCAAGATCTGAGTGATAGGTGTATTCCCCGATGAACGTTCTCTCTGGTCGATGGAATGTCCTTAAAATAATCTACTTGCCCACCCTTTATTATTCTTGTGTTTGATTGATTTTGCCTCATTTGTACCATATGCTTCCCTACCGGCTGTGACTGGTTCTAGTCAACAATTTATTTGGTCAAGCGGCCTGATTACCCATGAATGGTTGGTTCATCTGTCCTTACTAGGCACCCATTCATGCAACATATCAAATAGGCTCCAAGAATTTCAGGGGAAACTGAGTCTTTTTAATTTTCCATTGTATTTATTTGCACGCCTGAAGTGACATTCTGTCGGTGGGCTCTTACCTGTCTTCATTTTACCTCCACAGTCTCGACAATATCCCCGTCTTGTCGTGAAAGAAATGGAGTCGCTGTACCTGGAAGAGTTGAAGAAGATGGTTGGTGAACTCATGCTCCGTTTGGAGGCAGTCCCAGTTACAAAAGGCTCTAGCAGCTTCCAGAAATTTAAAAAACACAGTCGCGGTCAGGGTTCCACTGGGCCGTCCTCAACCGCTTCCTTGTACAGAGATCTCAGTGAAGAACCGGCTGAAGTGAATTTGAAGAACAAATTAGACATCCAACTCAACTTTACACTTGAGGTAAGACTTGTAGATAAACTTGACAAACAGAATTTCGCAGACGATCGCACTGTATTTCCTATGAGAAAGCGTGGTTCTAAAGGACCGTCATCTATGTCCTACCTGCTTTACTAAATGTCGGTCAAATCTACTGCGCAATAAGTGCATTCTTCTACGGACTTTTGAAATGTCCATACTTGAGGGCCTTATAGGAGCAGGCCTTTGTAACTCGATTGATGCAGTGAGACGCACAAATGACCCACTTAACAGTTCTAAAACTCATGGACACGTACCTTGGAGCTATCATCCACGGTTTCAACGTGTCCCCATTGTCCCTACTGTATGCCTGCAACTTTCAGAAAGACCAAAACATTTTCAGAAAAACATCAAATTGAGTTTCATCAGAACATTTTCAATGTAACAAATGTCGAAAGGCTTGATGTGATTTTGATAAACTCACTGTATTCATTTGTCTTAAAAGAAAGTTTGTACTGCATATCCGTCTGTCGCTATTGCAAGCTTAGAAGGTCATACAATAATCATCGAAGATGTTCCGCTCCTAATTAGGGTATTGTATTTGTCAGTCTTCGGTACTTCCAAGTTGATTACAAAATGTCCGACTCTGTACATTCGCCGCTCTATTTGTGGGGCATTCATAATTGGTCCGTTAATCTTGCCGCTAATTTCAAAATAACGCGACCATTTTGTAAAAAGTTAATCGGCCGGTTTCTCTCGAGGTATGTACAAAAAGTGTGGCAACGTTTGCTGAAGTCGAAGTGTCTAAAGTGCCTTCCGATTACACACCGCATGAAGGAACTGCGTACGAAATTAATGGATTTCACCGTCCTCTCCTCAACTGTCAGTATTTTCCCTTGAATCCGGGTAGTCTGAAAGGAGTTATTTGAGAGTGCTGTTCACTTTAGCCGAGACTGATTAAAAACAAAGCGCTTAAAAGGTAGGTGATGCTTCCTAGATTAGATTGGTTTCGTCAGCTTTTTCCCCATCGTGCAGAGTGGGATGCATGTTGACACACCGAGCCAAAAGATGAACGATCTCGATAAGGCAGACAAGAGTAGTCGAACGACTGACCAGCGAAGTAGCATATCAGAAAGCGAGTGGGTGGCTATTAGACAAATCCGTTGTGTTAGGCCTTATGGAATACACCCGAAAAAAACAGCGAATCATCGCCCATTTATGCAGGCGAAACGTCATATTAGCGCGTTATAATATCACTGAAAAATGTTTCTCTACTGACGAAAATAGTTTATGGCTATTATTATCTTTATTGAGGTGGGTTGCGAAGATATCAACAGTATTTGTCCACAAACAATCAGTTTTATGGCTTACTGCTGGTCCAATTAAGTTGACTATCTGAAGAAGTATTAGCTATTTCAATGCTGCTTTTAGTACTCCTACGTACCCGTTTTACTGTCAGTGGTACGTATTACAGCAAGAAAAAGCTCAGTGCTCGAACTCACTTATCGGAAGGTCCATCGTTCCAAACCAACTCCGTCATATCGACTGCTCCTGTCTAGGCTTGGGCTACCCTGTTGCTCCATTCGAGTAGTATGGAAGCTAGGCACCGAAATATGTTACTGCTGAACGATTTTCATTACCGTATTATTCCACGTCGAAGCGTTCCATCTTGAAAATATCGCCAATGTAGCGGACCATCAAATTATAAGTTAGCCGGTGATAACTACTACTTACTTTACTTTGTTATGGTTGTTTCTGGTTCGTGGATGTGCCGGTCCCAATGATGTCTCCTATTGCTGAATCCCAAGTTTGACTATCTGAGAAAAAGTTGGTGAATGTATGGGTGTACTCTTTCCATGGGTGTGTTGAAATTTATTTCATCCACGCCAGCTGTGGTGGTCTTAATCTGCTCTCATTCTGGGTATAACCGTAATCCGAAACATATGGGGAACAATTATGCGAGATATACTACACAACTGAAGTCTTTTCGATAATACAGTGTATTCATAGTACTAAGTTTGACGAAATTTGCCGTAGATCCCTTGAAAACGTCGTTGAATAATGCATCAAGTGGTGTAGTGCAAAACAATGCACCTGAGAAGCACCCTAACTGCGTACGATCCAACTCACAAATAATATCGGTTGTATGCAGTTCGCATGATATTCGTCGTCGAAGAAATTATCTACAAGATAAGATAAAAAGTTCCCATCCGTTTGCACTCATCCACCCTCAGAAAGTCATTTTTCACCTTGTGGGTTGATGGTGTCATCACAAAATATGGAGTGGCTGTATGATTGTGCCACGCACTCTGTGTTAAAATACATTATTGAAAAGAGCGCGCTAATGTGATGTTGATCAGTTTTTCACCCCGGTTGATTCGTTGAATCGTTCCTGTCTTCGTACGTTACCGAGTGATATACAAACCAAAAGTGCGCAAATCGGTTCATAAATGATTTATTAGCGCTCGCTTTCACCCAGCAAGCAACGTGCTCTGATATTGTTAATGTGTTGGATAACCGCGCTTACAATCACGGGAGCAGTTGGAATTCTCAAAACATCACGGAATTTAGACGTGCTGCACTTTTATCATAGGCAAGGTTTTTATAGGGTGGGGGCCGGCGGAGAAGTCTCATTTAGTTGTTTCCTCTATGTCCGATAAGGACGAAAGACCCTGTTTGGCTGAGCTTCATCCAACCGCATTTTCCGCTGAAATTTTAAGGGTATGGCTTCTTAATTAACCCATCCTCGCCAACAATCCATGGTAATTTACTTGAAAACAACCTGACCGTGTAACCTGAGGTTTCAGAAGAAGCTAGCAGCTGACTGGGCAAAGAATGACTTTGAAAATTTGAACTTATCTCTTAATTCATAACTACGTGGACTAGTCGTGATTCACTACGTGCATTTTACCCTGGAAACCGTGTCAACAAATTGAGCAACTTTGTAGGAGATAGCTTTCTGTAATTCCAAAATTTTGAAAACAGAGGTGATTCGATTTTGTATCGTGTATGTTCGTTCTTCTGGACATGAACAAGCCGCATACAATTCAAGGAGAGGTCTGGAGGCCGTGGAGCGTTCTACCTACTTTGAAGGTTGTACTAGTTTCGATTCTAGTGTGACGGATTAGGTCATTGCACGAATCTGTAAAGCTCGGGTCGCGTTTGGTAATTTGAGACACCTATGGCGTCAAGACGGTATATCACTAAATCCTAAAGGGCGTATATATCAGGCTACAATAAGGGGTTTTTAGTTGTGTGCTTAAGAGACGTGGCCTCTTCGAGCAGCCCAACTGGGATGTCTTCAGGTCTTCGACAACCGTCGTCTCAGAACCAGAGCTCGTGTGGGTTGGTTTTGGCGAATCTGTAACGAGGCAATTAGAAAGCCACTTTTCGGTTGTGCAGCGGAAAATTTCATCGATGAATACTATGGATGATGATGTTGACAGTGGTCTTTACTTTGTTTAATGCAGGTCTCATGAATACGTTAGTGGCAATTCAAGCCCTGATTTCCTATTTCCGAACACGTGCTTTAGTAATGCTCGTGTGGGTTTTGGCGAATCTGTAACGAGGCAATTAGAAAGCCACTTTTCGGTTGTGCAGCGGAAAATTTCATCGATGAATACTATGGATGATGATGTTGACAGTGGTCTTTACTTTGTTTAATGCAGGTCTCATGAATACGTTAGTGGCAATTCAAGCCCTGATTTCCTATTTCCGAACACGTGCTTTAGTAATGACGCTTTATCCGGAGCTTTAGGGAGCTAAAAGCTTGCTGAGCGATTTTGGAGCGTTAAAAAGCGGCCTTGCATGCACGTTATTTGGGAGTACCTAGCATCCGAGCTATCTGCCACCATGCGGCTATCTTCAATAAGTCTTTATACACACCCATTTAGTTGGGGATTTTGTCGTTACACCCTTGTTTCAGTTGTGTCTCGGATGCTTTCAGCGCGCACGAATTTCGCGATAAGTTTTATTCTCTACGAGTGTTGTTTGAACTTGTGTGCTGACAATCACCGCTTTGGGCTGATTGATTCTTTTAAAGTGGAATTCAGGTTTCAGTAACAATGGTCCTAGTTTTTTTTATACGTGTTTGCATTTAACTCACACGGAGGAGATACGCAAGTTACCGAGAGCCAATCGAATCTGAAACGAAGTTACTTGAACGAAGTGTTTTCTCGAAGATGCTAATAGAAGCTAGCAATCCAAGTACGACATTTAGATTCCTTATTTATGGGTCGTAATGAACAAAGTAAAGAAACATTTTCTCTTCCTGTAGGAATCGTGGTGTATTCCACCAGAGGAATACCTGCTCGCATGCATGCGAACCATAGAAGGTCCGATTAACGTTTGCCATCGACTCTTTGTTGTTCGCATCGTAAGGTTCCATCACAACAGGCAGATGCTTTTTCAAGTAATACACCACAATTTGCCTTTCTAATTCTGTCTGAATAATCGACCTTAATAGTTTCTGTCTCTCATAGGTCACTTCCGGTCAGCGGAAGCTTCGTATTCTGAATCACTTTGGTTTTGGTTTCAATGCTCACAGTGTGTCCAATTCAGATTGTCTCCCTTTACCCCAATTGAAACCGCTTTGGGATCGAAATCCTGATTGCAAAGTTTATTCATCAATAAGGCAGGATTGATAGCTCTGGACAAGGAGTTGATCAAATGCCTCGAAATTCCGGCTGATTTATGGCTACACTCGGACTTACCGTGTGACTTATTTTTCTACCATAATTAATGCGATACGGAGAGGGTGACTATGGTATTCCTACTTTTCCTAGTTTTAGGCCGCATATTAATGGCTAAGTTGGCAAGTGACCGGCTATGGTCCACTCTATACGGGTTCACTCTCTACAAAAGAAATGTGAATACCGTATTCCTTGACTTCTCTACTGATCGTGAGATTATTTTCCCCAAATGAAGCCGTGGATTTTTGTGGGTGTAGAATAGATGGAAGCTTGTTTAATCTTGAGCTTGGAAACACTAAAACTCTATCTCACCGGACGGAGTTTTCTAACGACTGAAGCATCGCGGGAACTGATCAACGCCATACGCTTTCAGTTCACAGGCTTGCGTAAAGCCTATTCCGTTATTCGTAGCCATGGCACTTTGAGAAACTTTTATAGCCAAACGAAAAGATAGAGGTATATTTTTTTCCAGCCACGATGATGTTTCGCGGTCAATCTAGAGAAGTTCTACTCGGCTATCGGCAAACTGCAAATACCGGGTTGGAAACTTCATTCGTTTGGGTTGGTTACTTTCTTGGTGAAAATCTTTATTGCATTGTTTTGGCGCACTTCTTTCTTCAGTCGAACATCCTTTTATGTAGGCAGATGTGATGGATGCTACAGACAACTGTGTGCAAAATGATCCACAAGATACCCAAATCAATTGCCTAATAGTCGGTCGCATCGGCAGAGTTTCGACTGCAGTTTCCCCAACCTACACTGCTCATCCTGGGATGAATTTCGTGAAACACTCGTCACAGAACAATTCGTTTTCCCCATCGATCCAAGACATTGCTTACCCTGTCTGACAGGCTTTTTTGGTTGCTCGAATTCGCCTCGATCACGTGTTCGTTTGCAGTGCTTCACTATCGATATTTTCTGGGTCTTCTCATAAGTACCTGATAGTTGGCGCAGACGATTGCCTTGTTTAGATCGACTTTTTGAGCGAAATTATACGATAGCTTTTTGCGACAATTTGGATATAACACGAGTGTTTGAAGCGTACGAGCGATTTGTTTGTCGTAAATCAGACTATCGACAGCATCTTCTGGAATTTAGACCTGGTTTCGCCTGGCCAACCAGGTTACCTGTTAATGGTTGTTCTCGACGGAATGTGTTGTTGCTAGCTTCTTGTTCGTGGGTTTTCCTTCAGTGTTCACTTACTACCCTCTTTTTGTCTTTCCACAAGCAGATTGTTGTCGGACAGGTACGGAATCTGAAGTATCTGCCAGCCAACAAGATGGTCTACTGTACCATGGAAGTAGAAGGGTGTGAGAAACTGCAAACGGATCTGGCGGAGGCAGGGAAGCCCTAGTGAGTTCACTGGTCGTCAAACCATATTTCACTTATGTTTATTTGTGAGTGTAGTTTGGGTATGCTGTGTTCCTAATCCCGTCTTGATGAGACTGGACCTTACCGTGGTTGGACGGGTTGTGCTCCTCAGCGACCCATTGAGCTATACTGGAGGCTGTCCACGCGGCACTTACAGAGTCTCTCATACCAGGTTGGTCAATGGTTAGAGAGCTGAAAAACACAGTCTCCTGGTTCTCCAGGTTGGGAGTTGGAAGATGTGGCTGCTTGTTCCGTAGAAATGGTAATGCATTCGCATTTCCCGCCAAACATCGCTGCCTTGCGGTTAGGTTTTTGAGCCAAAGGCTTTGGTTGAGGACCCTAATCGTCCTCCTGTCTAGGTGTGGGCACCCTGACAGTATCCCAGCCCACGTACAAACATGACACTTAAAACTAACAATACTCTCATTCCACATCGGCCGTCGCGTAGTGCCATCAGCCGGGTCGGGTTACTTGCTGCATACAGCAAGGCGGATAAGCGCAAACAGGCTACTGTTGACGCCTCCCTTCATTCTCTCCCACATAATTTTTCTTCCCCCTATCCCCACCCCATTTATAACTCTCCTCTTGTAGGCCTAGCACTTAGGACTGATGACTCCGTTCGTCTTGCATCACTTTTGCTTGCAGCATCTGCTCCTCATATGGCGCCGACATCCTCGGGTATCTCGAAATCAATCTCCAAGCCTCGGCACCCAGTCTATCTGGCCGCCTTCAATGTCCGCACCCTGAAACAGGCAGGACGACAAACTGATCTTGCTCTCATACTGGACTCGCTTGGCATTGATGTGTCCTGTGCCTCAGATACAAGAATTCAAGATGCAAGCACAGCGATTGAGCTAACCACCTCATCACTATCCACTCGCTTCCGGCCACGCTTCTCTGGTGATCTAGAGGCTGATGCAGCGGGATGTGCAGGGCTTGGTATCATCCTAAGTCACCGGGCGGAAGTATACTTTCTTGACTGGATAACTATTGATAATCGCCTCTGTGCGGTTCGTCTGGCAACGTCTGTGAAGGAGTCTCACAAGCGGGAAGTTGATAGATTCTGTTCAGCGTGTCTGCCTACGCCCCAACTGACTGTAGCTCCGACGCCGTCAAGGACTGGTTTTATGACGCCCTGAATGTCCTGTTGCGGCGAGCATAAAGCTCAGCAATTGTGGTTTTTACCGGAGATTTGAATGCACAAGTGAGCAGGTTTAGCGTATCTGTGACTCATATAGGAGGCCGACATGGACTGTACTTGGCACGCACAGTTGGGGAAAAACTGCTCCAGCTGTGTTCTGATCGCAGGCTGTTTTTATGCAATCACAACTTCCGAAATAGCCGAGGTCGTCTGGCCACATGGTGTCCTCCAACGTCATGCCGGCCACAAACTCAAATCGGCCACATTGCCATCAATTACCGCTGGCATGGATCAATAACTGATTGCCAGTCGTTCTAGAACACATTTGTGGATTCCGACCACACGCTCGTCCTGAGTCGACTCTCTCTACGTTTTCCTGGACAATACGTATAAGGGACTCACAATTCTGTCCTTTCTGGATTTTCAAGATGCATTTGACTCGGTTGACCGGTCTGTTCTGCTTCATACGCTTGCCCACCAAGGAATGCCTCGGAAGTTCATGATTTTGTATTTTGCGTCCTCAGACTTCCGGACGTGTGCGAGTATATGGTGAGTTCTCCAAAAACTCCTGACTGTCAGGGGTGCCCACTCTTCCCACTTCTGTTTAACTTCCTGATTGATGAAATCATGAAACATACGCTGGAAGGTCTCCGAAACCCCGGTGTTCAAATAGCCCGTTACGAGAATCTTCCTGATCTGGAATATGCAGATGAAATCGTTCTCGTCTTCGAAGAGGAGGAGAAGGGGCAAGTGTTTTCCAGATGAACTCATCAAAGTCATCCCGTCCTTCGTTCTGCACTTTGCACGCGCAAAGTGTAAGGTCATGCTCCTGGAGATGCAGTCACTGAACACCCCACTTACGATCCAGGGAGAGGTACTGGAAGTTGTGGAGCGTTTTACATATCTTGGAAGTTGCATTAGTTCTGATTGTAGTGTGACAGGTGAGGTTGATGCACGAATCTGCAAAGCTCGGGTCGCGTTTGCTAATTTGAGACACTTATGACGTCAAAGTGATCTATCTCTGAATTCCAAAGGACGTGTCTATCAAGCTACAGTGCGGGCCGTTTTGTTCTAGGGCTTTGAGACTCTGCCTGTTCGAGGAGCGGAACTGGGACGTCTTCAGGTGTTCGACAATCGTTGTCTCAGAACCACAACTCGTGTGGATTGGTGTCGGCGAATCCTTAACAAGATAGAAAGCGCGTTTTCGGTGGTGCAACGCGTACGTCCATTTAAGAATGTGTTCAGCAGGGGAAACTGCGTTGGTTGGGACATGTGTTGCGTATACCTACCCATCGCTTAGCGAGGAAAGTGTCGTTTTCCATGGTCGACTCAGAGTGACGGAAGCATAGAGGTGGTCAACCCTTGACCTGGCACAGGGTATGGAAGAAATCACGAAACGTTTGGGTGCTGTCGGTGCTACTCGCCTTTTAGGTTGGGGACCGTATGATCCCCACTGCGCCTTGTTGGAGATGCTACGAGTTATTGCTGCCAACGGATGTCAGTGGCGTTCTTGTTGTCAGTTTCTATCCAGATTGTCTGAGTGAGCGTTTGGAGGTGTAGTTACCTCGGAATGACTGTAGTAAGCTAGCACCAAATCCCTTCCCCGTCCAGCTTTACTCTTTTCTCCACGGCAGTGAAGCATCGGTGTTGCATACTGATGTCATACTGTCGATGATAATGGTGATGTTCCTAATCACTCTCTCTTATCAATTGCCTATTGATCACTGTTGGTGTTTGGCAGTGTTTTAAGTTTCACCTAGTGGAACGAGGGAGCTTCATCTAACTATACCACTAGGTTCATTGTGTACGCGTATCCTGACAGCATATACCGTCCAGAATGGGGATTTATGTGCATATGCTGGTTTGCTCCTTTCGAAGATCACACTCATTCAATCACGAGTACCATCCATCCTGAATTCTTCGGTTCCGCATCAATTTCACGAGACTTCTGTGGTTTTTATTAATCTGTTTTGAACAACACGTTTATTTTCTGTTTAATTTGCCTCAGTTTACGCTATTTCTCTTGGCTGGCTTATCCGAACGCAACCATTAGCAATACTCACTGACACAAACCTCACCCAGATATACGTTTCTCTTCTGCGTGCTCAAAGCGATCATACGTGATATCTAAAGCTCTTCATTAATCCGTTTTATGCCACGCCGCAGTTCACCTGTCAAATACAGCGATTTAGTCATCTTTAAAAAAATTAACCGCTCTTCTCATAGGCTATGTCCGTGTGCCCGGGTTTTGTTCATCACAATTTGAGTGCTTGAGGCAGGGGACTGCGTACTTTGCCCTGGTAATGTCCTTTCAAAGACTTCAATCATTTTGTGTGTCTGTGGATTCACGTGAATGCCTGTTTGCCCGAACTGTTTATCACTCTCCGAGTATTACAACTACGGATAACACGCTATTCTCGTAGTACGAAAACACTCGGAGGCGCATAATATCGTACATTCCAGCCAATGAAACATGCTTGGCAGCTGGAGAGAATCAAGTTTTTTACGGTATTCAACGCCGTAATGTCTAAAACGGAGTATGATTATAACCTTCAGTATTCTCTCAAATCACCTAAGCTGGGATGTTAAACCTACGGAGAGGCGGCACGCGGAAATGATACTTTCTATTGTTGCGTTTGCATTGTCAGGGTCGTCCACAACGCCTTTGAGTAAGCTCTTCCTATATTGCACGTTGAATCGTCAGATGTCAGAGTCACATAACATTACTTTGGAAATATGGTTATTTTTCCGGCAACGTCATCCCTATGTGTCACGCACACTTTAGAATGTGTGCAATGGCTACCCAAAAAAAAGCGGAAATTTCCATTCTGGCCTTCCAAGTTCGTTGTTCCATCTTTTGAATCAGAACGAGATGAATATTGTTATATGCCAACATTTTGGTTGGTTGCGTGGACGGCGGATTGAATTGAAGTAGTGATGTTAGCTTTTCCCAAACAACGTTGCAAAATCCCATCGCAGGCATCTTAGAATGCCTGTCTGTATAATACAGTGATTTCAACGCAACGGATAGTAGGATCTTCCTCCCCGAGATGGACAATATCTATCGTATCACAGCCATCCAGTCATCTGATCAACAATTGCTTGTGACATTCCCTGCAGTTCCGATCGAGTTTATGAACTTCGTTTTCTGCGTCATTGTGAAGGTTCAGACTGAATGGCATGCCAAGTCAAACTCTTAATCGATTTGTCAGCTTTTTCACCAGAGATGGATTTGTTGTCTATCCTACTGAGCTGTCCACTAAACCTGTGATTTGTGTCGGTGAACTGCCCGTCACTGGCCTTTACATAGGTGGCTATTGCTCCTTACTTGTTTATCACGATTTCCTAGTGTTCATGGGGGGGGGGGTAAGGAAACAGCGAAATCGAGTCACCTGTGAATGATATTTTTCATGAAGATGAAATGACCAGAATATCTATCGTTCTGGGTTATCGCTTTTACGAAGGATTCCCAGTGTAGGAGCAATTTGGGAGCATCCAAAATGCCTCTTTGCTTGTTTGCTTGGAGGTTAACTATAAAAGAAGAGTATTGTGGTTTTATTTTCACAGGATCAAGCGGAAAAAGGATTTCTTGCAACTATATCGTTTTCCACACTTTATGTAGCCAAAACACCCCTTTGTTGGTATTCTAACCAGATCGACAATCGAAGAAGTTCGGATGACTTCAGGATTTCTTAAGAACGTACGGTACCCAGGACCATTTACTAAGTCGGCGTGATGGAGCTGTGAATGGGCACGACATAGGCACTCGAAACAGATCAAAACTTGCGCCCGATGTTGGCCGAAGAGTCGCAGAGCCGAATATGCCGTCTCAGACACCCTCTTGGTTCCAGTGTAGGCTATACGGAACAAGATAAGCCGATGAATATGCAAGACATCTTTTGTGGATCATCAGCCGGCCCAAAGATGATGGCACAACAAAAGAAAAACCAGTTATTTGTTTGTCATCGCGGTTCCGACACCACTCGCCAGTTTCCTCAAGTTTCAACATAATGCTGACATCTCTGAGTCATCAGCGGCGCGTACACTGTATAACTGTATGTCAGATTGCTCGCCATCGAACGGTTGAGGCTTATTCAGGATCGCTTATAACGTAACTCGCAAACGTTGGATTCCTCCAATAACATCCTTAGTTTTTTTATCGGGTACATGTGTATAAAACAGATACAGTCCTTTCACTAACGTTTTACTTCACTACATCTTGTGATACGAGTAAACAATGCAGTGGGCACGAATGGTGGATAACTACTTTTGTACTGCTCAACAGTCAGCCAGTTGGAAGCAAGACCTAACCAAACGAAAGGTGAGATTGATATTAAAGTGTTTTCCATGGGACGTCATACTTGGTTGAACTCTAAGCTTCTGAATGCAGTACTGCCCCGAACCTGTACAGATGGCTGTGTAGGTCGTGTGCGCTGGAATTTGGTTTTGTCGTTTTCCACAACTTAATGATTAGCAAGTGCAAAAATGACTTTACGGAATACGAAAGTGATAGAATTTCCATGGGACCTGTTTAACTAAGCCTCTGTTGAGGCACAATATTTTTTGGAGACGGTCGAATATATTCTGTTTGGATGCAATCTTCCGTTGCACTTTTGGAATTTCTGGATCTAAACTGTCTCATGTATTTTATTTTTTCTCTCCCTGTTTAGCTGGGGTACCCAAGGTGATTTCACCACAACACAACCCTTACCGACCGTCAAGGTCAAACTATACGCTGAAAGTTCCGGTATTCTTTCGCTGGACAGCGGCAGAGAACTAGGTCGAGTAAGTTCTAACTGAATGTTCTCACTGTATGTGGAGTTTTCGCATCGGCTGAGTTTCACAAATACACTGTTAAGTGCAGCAAACGAACCAACATTAATTTATTGATATTAATTCACGACTACTGCCGCCCAGAAAATCGTGCATGTTCAGTCAAAGACTTTCCGTTAGTTTAGTGAGACTCCAAGATCTTTATCTCTTTTATACGATACGCCTGCAGAACTGAGCCGAAGGTATTACACTGTGTTCCTCAGATCGCTCAGCTCCATATTTAAACGTGACGAGCCCGCCGGGTTGGTTGCACCGTCTGTGTGCACTTCTGCGCCTGAACTAAGATTTTCGTAACCGAACTACCTAATTCTATTGACGCTGTTTGTCAGCCTATCCTAAACAATTTTCACTTTTTACACTGGTTCAAAATCTAATCTCTTGTGAACTTGTGTGTAACGCCATGTAACGTCATGGTCAAATATCAATTTGCCATGGCCCTCGTACATCTTGATGAAATTCATTTGGGTATGTACGTATAAGTATACAGAAGTTCTTTAGGGCAAAATTTATTGGACGCTAAAAGCTAACCTTTCGAGGTTATTTTCCCTGTTAGTCCAAATCGAGCTTTTTAGGTGTGGAAGGCTACTTTCGACTTAACTCGATCTGACTAATGTATCAAAATCCTTGACTATGTCCCTTTGGTTACCTGGTTATCTTACACAGGTCGTCGTAAACCCTACATGTACTGGGAACCGACAGCCAGAGTGGCACAAACTCCAGACAGCCAAGGGAGTTCCCGACGATTTAGGGATCCAGCTGACAATCCGTATGGATAAACCAACGAACCTCAAATACTGTGGATATTTATATGCTCTGGGTCGCACTGCATTTAAAAAGTGGAGACGTCGATACGTATGCTTGATTCAGGTTGGTGCACCGCAGTATTTGTTTCACTTGTGTGAACGTGCTGTTTAGTGTTTGGAGTAGTTTGTTTGCAGCAACCTTCGTATCACGCTTTTCCTTCTGCATAGGTTTCTCAATACACTTTCATAATGGCATCCTACAAAGAACGTAAATCGGACCCTTTAGAAATCATGCAGCTGGAAGGTTTCACTGTGGATTTTTGTGATGTACAGCCAGGTGAGTTAGGACCTCTCAGACCATTACAGATGATTGCCTTTCTATAATCCATTGTCTGTATTCATATACTTACATATTCATATTGTCTATATTCATTGTCTATAATTTATTGTCTTTCTATAGTAATAATATTTCGGTGAATAGAATAGCATCCGGTTCCGTGCCCCTATATTATTTTGAAGGATAACATATTTTTTCAACAGATTTGGCTGCTAACGGTGGAAAGTTCTTTTTCAACTTGGTCAAAGAAGGAGATAGCGTAACGTTTGCGTCGGATGACTCTAACGAACGACAACTGTGGATTCAGGCAATATATCGAGCCACGGGCCAAACGCACAAACCTATTCCACCGTCCAAAGAAGGGCCTGCAATGAGTTCAAGCCACGCCTCTAGCGGTCTGTCTTCAACCGGTTCTCGCCCTGGTTTGGGCAACAGAACACAGGGCGGTATGTTTCGTCTAACCTATGTGGTCGACCATCATTAAACGGTTGTTTTATGGAGCATGAATCTATATCATTCTCAAAATCGGGGCTTAACCTTCCCCTATTTCACCAAGCGAGTGTCCATGGCTTGTTTTCCGGTTTCAGATCCCACCGAGTGGTTATCCTGGTTCCCGAAACCCGTATGGTTTAAGGTCCCACAGGTTTTCCCAGTGTCGTCTTAGACTCCCTTAGTGGTTCACGCCGTCCTTGTGCGATGATTGTGTGGATCACATTCAATTTGATTTGCTATCAACCTATTAGCAAACATGAGCTAGGTTCGCTTTTTGCAGACAGTACATGCCCTATCCGTAGCTAGTTTGCAAGGTTTTTTTTTTTGGGGGGGGGGGGGTAGTTCCCGAAACCCGTATGGTTTAAGGTCCCACAGGTTTTCCCAGTGTCGTCTTAGACTCCCTTAGTGGTTCACGCCGTCCTTGTGCGATGATTGTGTGGATCACATTCAATTTGATTTGCTATCAACCTATTAGCAAACATGAGCTAGGTTCGCTTTTTGCAGACAGTACATGCCCTATCCGTAGCTAGTTTGCAAGGTTTTTTTTTTTTGGGGGGGGGGTATATCCACACCGCCTTCGTTCGAATGGTCTCCATCCTGTTCGGTCGCTATTGCTCTGACCAGTCCACATCGCAGAGGGAAAAAACTGAACTCTAGTTTTGTTGTCATAAGCGGTATATACGCTGTATATACCAGGATTTGGACTCCAGACATCCGGCATGTGAGATGAGCGTCTTACTCATACTCCACAACACACTGGACTCAACCAACTTATCACTTCTGCGCAGACGAACGCGTTTACCCTTGAGCGATGAGCTGATACGCTTCAATAATACCGCTCCCTCTGCTTTGTTTGGGTCAATCAACCTGATGGCTCCAGAATGGGAGCATGACTGTTCAAATGAGAGTGATGTGAGTGCAAACTTATACTTTCTTTGTAAGGGTAAATCAATACACTGTTTTTTTATTTACTCAGAAGTAACATACTAGGGGATGTGCTGTTCTCCGTGTATGGAATCCGGTCAGAAGATATAATCTGCAGTTGTACTTGGCCCTTCGATGGATATTTAGTAAGGGAGAAAGATCGGCCCTCGCACATTAGCATTTTCCAGTCTGCAGAAACGAGGCGGAATTCCACATAACACACCTCGCGTCGAACTAGCTAGACTTACCATGAATGCACCATTACAGATTTAGTGTAGTAAGGTCCCGAGGTGACTGGCGTTATGGAGAAGCAAGCCTTCTGTGAAATTCGTGAACCTGACGAGATTGGATTGTCGTCCCATCCTACCAAGAGTTTTTGAAGACGGCTTGTCGCAAAAATCTCCAAGATTGGTTCTGTCTACAATTGAGGAACAGATAACATCTCGACTGATCCTTCTTAATCGATGTTTCGAGACATTCCAGCTGGGCTTCAGAGTCCTGAAGTTATATCCTCAGACAATCAGAGTATGTGTGTTCAAGGGGCTTTCGGTTAGGTTAAAATATAATATCAAATTTACTTGGTACATTACTTTGATGCCACCAAACCTCAACAGGTTACAGAGGAATTGGGAGGTGATGCAAACCTCAAAGGTTACAGAGGAATTGGGAGGTGATGAATTTATGGTAAGGATCGTGAGCGGTCCTCTAATTCAGTCGTGGGACTTTTGGAGTCTCTTCTGAGTTTAATGTTTTCTTTGAAAGGAATTTCAATCCTCAAATTTCCAGCACCTGACTTTGAATGCAGACCAACCGGACAACGAAACAAGTAACAAGCAGTACTGTAATCAACAAACGAGTAAGATGTTTCTTCTTGAGAAGGAGTAACTAACGTGGCCGGTCTGTTTTACCGTAATGAGTTAGCTCACTACATTTATTATGTTTGGGCATGATTTCAATATCTTTGTACGTTTATTGGCACATTCGTATTTTCATTCCATATGATACTAGTTGTTTCGCTGTACCTGAATTATTACTATACACACAGACTAAGGAAGATTTATACCGGAGGATGGGAATAAATCGCTGTACATGCTAGAAACTGGGGATGTACCAAATATCATTTGGTTCTATTTCCTGCTCTCCCTACCTCCTATTGGTATCGCCAACACTATCGTTAAGCGAATTGGTATCGGACCTGGAATTCCTTTTCTATAGACCCCGTACATAAAGAAGTCCACAAACCTAATTATCAGCTCCCAATACCCTATAACAAGACAGCATTACTGGTGGCCTCGATAGTATTATGTGATTTCCGGAACACCTTTCAGGAGACGCAGACAGGAGGTCTACCCATTATAAAGTGGAAATCATCCGTAGAACCATTCAGGAAAGCATTTTGAAGCACCTTTCTGTGAGCAGTTGCCTTTCTGCCTAATAGTCCAACGTTTAGTTCATTGAGGGGATAATTTAATACAGCCATCCATTCTCAACCTTTTTTTTCTGTTTGCACAATAAATTATGTACGGATGAGAAACGGAATCTAATTTCAAAGTTTGCTTCATTTCCCACCTCATACACCTCATCGCTTATCACTACGTGAACCCTGTCTACTACCATGCCATGGAGTTGTGTTGTGCATTTGGTCGATTTGTTAATTGATTACGATTACGCTAGAAGACCAAAATTTTTCCGTTGTCATCTCCTAGGCACAACGGAAAGGACTTTTTATGTTGCCCACCTTCCAACATTCAGAGAAAGCCTTGCTTGCGTCAGGGAAAACCGAGTGGTTATTTTTACGTTTGAATTTTCCCACCCTTCGCGAGCTGCGTACGGTCAACATTTTCGTGCCGATGATTTGCATACTTATTACTTGATCCGACACCCTCCCATCTCTTTCCCTTTCAGACGTTGATCGAGCTCGCAAACATGGTTTAGACGAGTTTGTCAGTGTCGAATCGTGGCGCATCAATCACGCACAACTTTTTCGTCTGTTACAATCACGATCGTTGGAACAACGAATGAAAGACCCATACGTTTCGCTGGGTTGGTTTAGTCCCAGTCAAATGTTCATTTTGGATGAATATTGTGCACGTTACGGAGTTCGTGGTTGCCATAGGCATTTATGCTATCTATCAGATCTGCTCGACCGTGCGGAACAAGGGATAATGATAGATCCGGCTCTGGTGCATTATTCGTATGCCTTCTGCTGTTGTCACGTATTTGGAAACGCGTACGTCTCGCAGACTGGATTTCAGGCTGCTTTTTTCAATTCTGTTATCGTATCACCATATGTATGTGGGACGATGACCTTCAATGAATAATTTTTGTTCGCAAGCTTCCATGTGTGGCTTATTCAATGAATAGGGTTGGGTCACACAGGTCGGCTTCTTTCAGTTAAGCTATTTTGTTTGAAGCAGTTTGATACAAGTAATTCATTGGCATTTCTTTCAGCATACACTTGGCACATTTGTTGTGTGAACTCCGATCCACCAGGCACTTCAGTAACCTCATTCCCTAAGTAGGAACTTTTGAAAAGGTGTTATTTCTAGAAGTTTTTAACAACAGTCACTCAGTTTGTGGCCTCCTAGGGAAAGTCAACTACCTTCTGTCACCTTGGAGCTACCTCTGGGAGGATCTCAGTAATTCACGTGGTTCCTCACGCAACACTCCCCGTATTTTGAGCTTAACTATCATCCTTATTGATGACATAGTGTCCCAGTATCTATACTGTCGAATAATGCAAGCCCATAATCCCGATCAGTTCGTATGGTCTCTCAGTCTGGCTCCCATGTGGTTAATGATAAGAACCTACTTTTTTACTTTTGACTGCTGGCTTTACTCAAGCTGAGTGGCATTAGTTTGGTCCAATGTTCCTGGTGCGCGACTTAATGAGAACATTTGGCTTTTAGCGCCTATTAGACACTGTTTAATGCCTATATTTGTCAGCATTTCTGTGTGCTTGTAGACCTACCGGAAAACTAGCGAACTTCAGGAATGCATTACTTGTTGTTCGTCCCTTTTCGTTGGGGTATTTTTTCAAAGGAACACGCTATTCTGGTTTTTGGAGAGTATATAATAATAATAATAGGTGTTTCTCAATTTACTCCACCAAAAACCATCGAGTGCATCAGGGTCACTAATAATGGCAAGCTGTGGTCTACCGTTTTTCTGAAACCGATGTCTCTACAAGTTATTGTGGTGCAATGGCCGTCCACCCCTCTTCAGAACCATCAGGAAATTGCACTTTGTCATCGATAGTTTACGAAAAAATGACTTAGTATATGAATAGACCGACTTCTAATTTACTGTTTTTTTCGGATTAGCGCTCTAACCTGATAGCGATTTAGTCAACCGTGATATCTCACCTTGTTACTGCATCACACACGACTACAGCTCTCAGAATTTTTATCTGTGTTTGGCAGGATTACCTGACGTTTTCCATCTGTTTGACAGGACATCTCTCGATATGTAGGAAGGAAAAGTAGAGAGGGGAATTCGAAACAGCGCCCAAAGGGACCAGCAGTGTTTTGGTTTACACACACGGATAGATATACTAACAGGCTAGTGCGTTTGCTCTTCTCTGTCATCTTCCAGCCACATACCATTGCCAATATTGTTATGCTGCGCACACATCTACATATGCACACGTGTATACACTTCAGTCGCCTTTCTCTATGCGTGTGTCTTTGCTGAACTCTTGAGATATGATTGATGGTGTTTTAGATAAATTCAGCTCAGTTCCTTTGAGAAGTATTTCAGTACCCTGAATTTGCATGATTAGTAAGTGTAAACACATCTGAGAGGCTTCGGGATGGCTGTCTGCCAAAGCAATCAAGCAGTGATTGTAAACACCAACAGTTTTCCCCTCATTGTATACGGCTTGTTGAGACAATCGCAATAAATTGTGCTCAGAATTCCCTGGAGGGATTCTTCAACCATGAAAGGCCGATATTAATCCTTAGGGGATACTCAAGGCCTGGCTACTGTTTATGGTTTTCCCGGACAACTTTGATCCGAAATGCAAATCCCCAGTATCCCCACCCCAGTTATTGCTTTCTTTTCACGGGCGTTCTTTTGAGTGCAGAATTGAAAGCTCTGTTGAATAGATTGTATACGCTCTTGGTATGTTTCAGATGCTTCCCGATACAAATCGACCTATTTTACTCTAGTGAAAAAAGACTTCGAGATTCAGCATTTGGAGTTCACAACTGCTAACTGTTCACCAAAATGTCCATATATTTTTTTGTAGTCACTGGGAAGGTGAATGGGCAGTTATCAGGTTCCTGTTCTATCTTTGTAATGTACTACTCATAAGGTTGGTGAAAATCCATCGACAGCCCACGACCGGTTTCGCCCTTCTTGGGGCTCATCAGGTAGGCACAGTCCCCGGGTTTCCGTCAACCTTATGTTCTACTTGAAACCAAATTGCACGAAATTAGCGAATATACACTCATTTGCAAAGTAATTTGGTTCTTTAGAGAGACTCACCTGGAACCCAGCTGAATCTCTCGTTTATGATGTTCTCAGGCAACTTAATGTGCTGCACCAGGCCGCCTCATGTTTCAGTTGCTACGATATTTGAAATATTGCGATACATGTATATCTTTGTAATGTACTACTCATAAGGTTGGTGAAAATCCATCGACAGCCCACGACCGGTTTCGCCCTTCTTGGGGCTCATCAGGTAGGCACAGTCCCCGGGTTTCCGTCAACCTGGTTCCTGTTCTCTTCATAAGCTTACGTCAAGACTGTTTATCTGCCTATAGCTCAGTACACAGATCAATAGGTTGCGTTGGCCCGTTGCCCCCCCCCCCAGGACTGCAGTAAACCCAATGGGAAAAATAATGTTATGTAATTTGGAAAATGTCCTATATATCCAGGAGGAACACTATGTGATTGTGCAACTGTGTGATTCGCAAGTGAAGTTTTTGCATTTGTTGCAATCACCATTGGCTCTACTGTCTTTTCTTGACAAACACTTATCATATCTACCCCTGCTTCTTGAGACGGCATCTTCCGTTTGCTTTGCTTCGTTAACTCCTATTTCCGCTTTTTGATTTTAACGTTTGTCGGTATCATTTGATGCCCTGACAGCGTCCACGTTTCGCGACTGTATGTCACAGGCAGCATGACTGTGTGTATGTACCTTTGATATTACTCCTCCTCCTTTGCCTCGTGACATGAAAATGCAGACATTCCTAGGCGACTCTAGATTATTATAGTTCACCATTGCATGTACTGAGACTGTCCGCAGTGGTTGCATTCTTAAATGATCATGTACTTTGATCCATTTGGATGAGAATTACACGAAAATGATCGTTTTCGACGACCATTTCAGTGCTCGGAATTGTTTGTCTTCATTTTATGTAACCTAGGTGTGCCCTTCTCAATAGATCCCAATGTTTGAAGGATTGCTTTATAACAGAGTATTGCAAAACCAACTTCGTGTTGCAGTATGAAAGTATTCTCAAAGCATACCTCCAGCACTTACATACTTTTGCTCTACTGGAAATACTGGTGGAGTTTTTTTTTCCATAACTTGTACGAAAACGCGGTCATAAGTTCTGATTATCATGGTTTTGAGTGTCATCTGACGGAATGCTCAATTTTGTCCAGGGTTTTGGTATTTATTACGGATCGTTATTCAGTTTGGCCTGCGTCGCAAACGACAACTAGTTTGGCAAACATTTCACAGAGGTATTGATAACGCCTACTTTGATTATTTCCAGTTTGCTTCAATGTGCCAATTTTCGTGGAGTTTTATTTTATTAAGGCATTTTTAGTCAATAAGCGAAATCTCGGATCTCAAACTTCTTTCATGTTGAATCTGTTCGCCGGAAGCTGGGAGCATGTGTATACTTCTGCATTCGGTTGTAGACAAAAGACCAAAACACTAAACATGTTATTTGAGGTAGCTAGAAAAACACATTTCTAAGAGTATTCAAATGGGTACGAGGAACTTTTCACATCATGTCGAAATGGACCCGAGGCACAAGGAAAGCCATTATTTTGTATAAAGACACTTTCTACAAGCTGAATCGCTTGTCTTGAAGGCTAAATTTACCCTTTCTTGGGGGCATCGTGCGTTCTCATACTACTCTGAAGCTGGTGATTCACATCTCATCCAGATTGAACTCCGAAGCGGGTCTAAAATGATCCGAACATCATTCACACTTACATACTAAATAGGTTGGTTTGCGAGGGTGAACGGGACCCTCCTCCGACTGTTTTGACTTGTGCCAACTACGTATTCTTACTTGTGGTGCAGTAAAGAATGATGCTCGCTTATGTATTTCTTCTTGCACGGTTGCATCCGGTTAGTTGGAGCTGGTGGAAGTAAAAGCGTTGAGATGGCAGGAAGCTTAGAATGTTTCGGTTGAACTTTCAAGCTGGCTAGATTTCAAGTTGGGATGTACTGCACCGTATATCAATGTTCAAGATTCATGTCAGATTTTGATTAGCAATCGATTCACCTTAACGTAGAATTGTGTCGTATCCAGGTTTCTATCCTAAAAAGTTCATCGCGACTGCTAGTGAAATATTCCAGGATCTTGTAGTATGTTTAGCATATGGTTTGCTCATCAGTTTTTTTTGTGAATTAAGCAGTCGAATTGCGCAATGCTTCTAAAGAGGGTGTAACTTGCCGTTTTTGGATTTCACTCTCTTGCTACTTGAGTGGATGCTCGGAGGACAGTAATACTATTTCCCTTTGTTGTAAGAAAGCAAGGTTTTCCCCCAAAATGTTAAGCATTCTCTTGATAGTATACTGATAATCACATCTCTCACCTACCTATCCGATCCTAGTGATTTTACTCATCTTCCAATCACATTGGATAAACAGGTACACTGAGAGCCACCTAATCTTTGTCTGCCACATTCATTCAACCATCGGTCCCATAATCGTTTGCTCTTTATACTGGGTTAACGCCTCTGTTTAGTTTTCTGTAGGATCCGCGAAGCTACACAAAATTGTGAGTACCAAAGTGGAACGTATATTTTATGAGAAGACGTCCTAGCAATACCAGTTAAATGGGAATCTTCGAGTTGTCATCTTTGTTTTTTCACTTTTACTAAACAACATGAAAATTACGGAGAAACGATATTCCCATATTCGGATACCTGTATAAATAAAAGATGCACAATGACACAGTGAAATTTAATCAAGATGACTCTCACGGAGGCTCACTAGGTGACGTCTTGAGGACTTGGAGCCTCAAAAGTTGTAGCGACGTTGTCGGTAGCAGGACCCTCGGGAAGTTAGTTGTTTCTTGGGAGGAGGAGGCGGAAGAAGAAGAAACGAAATGGATAATCAATATATTCGGTCAAATTTAACAACGTCCCCTCAATATTAGGCGGGGAGACAGATAAAAATGATGTGTATATTCGACGCTCGGTAAAAGTTTTTGTTCATCACACCGTATACATGGATTCTGTTGTTCAAGGAATGAGCATCTACTTTGGTTCCAGTTAACACTGTCCGATCTAACAATACTTACTTGGTCAGTTTGTCCCGTATATCGAAGGTTGCTCGTACTCTGTGTGGAATACAATCTGACTAATAGTATACGTCTCCTCTATGTCACTGAATGCTAAAACAACATGGTCATCATTTTGTTGGTTGGCTTTGATCTTACGAACAGTGTTTGCTTATGTAAGTCTAATTTGATGAAGCCTCATGCGAGCTTCTCGATATATGTGGATTCCATGTGGATGCGGCTAAGACTTGTAGAACAATGGTTTCGAATTCCTTTGTTCGGATTCCAAATTCTATTGATAAATCAAATTCGAACAAGTCGCATTGCAATAAGCCTCAATGAAGTGAGTGGGAGTTCGGATCAGACGAGGAGCAACAGTGTCACGTACCGTCCTGAATTTGCATAGATTACTATCGTCGCTATCCACCAGCGCTTTTACAGTTACTAATTTGTTTTCACAAGCAGTAATAACAACAACAACAGGCTTTTCGTATGCCTGAAGGAGTTATTTCGGCTTATCTTTTTTTTCGCGAATTAGTCGGCCTCTTAAACCGCATGCTAAAATCATCCTTACATCACATTATTTTGAGCAGCCCTTGAGTTTTTTTCGGAACTGATGGTTTCGTGAACGATTGTTGTTGATGAGGTCTTTGGCAGCTGATATACCGAAATACGTATTTCGACGTATATAAGCGACGCCATTGCACTAATATACACCATATTTCGTTTACGTTTGTGCTTGCCAGTCTGCAAACAACATGGATATATTCGGTGGTACGGAGGATCTGTTCCATGGGATAAGCGAGTCAAGAAGCAGACAGTTGTCAGTGGTTTTTGGTCTTTTTGATTTGACATACCCGTCCCGATATTCATAAGTTACAAATTTCACCAAACCATTTTTGTTTATATTCGTTGGCCACAAATTCTATCATCGCGTACAACATTGAATACATGCCCTATCTTTCTTTCAGTCAAGATTCAAATGTACGAACTGTCCTCCACGAAGAACGTGAATTGTTTCTGGAAATTCGGCAAAGACTGTACGCGCTATTGGAAAAACAGATAACTGAATTTCGCTATTATTTTCCTTTTGGCCGTCCCGAGGGAGCGCTCAAGTTGACTTTGAGTTTGCTCGAACGAGTACGTCATCTTGAGGTTTTTCCTTTTTGGTGTCCCCCAATGGCTACCACTTTTGCGTGTTGAAAAAGTGTGGGAAAAGTGTGCTGGCCGCTCATTCACTTTCAAGTTTTTCTCTGTTAGTGTGTCAGATTGTGCCAACCGAGCTGCAAGTCGTTCACGATGATATGAGGTAAGCTGCTTGCCTCAGAAAAAGGGCAGTCTTGAATGGTTTCCGGTCATCCGTAGTTGATCCCCATATGGTCCAACTTGGCCCACGAGTGGATTATGTGGTGTGTGTAAGACTACACGTCGTAGGGGGCATTACTTGAAATTCGACCTATCGATAAAGAGGACGGTCAGCTCATGTCCGAATGTATGGCCTTCCGTTGTCTGTGCAGCTTGCTATATCAGATTTCACATGACGCATTTTATTAGCTTGAGTTTTTATATCACCCCAAAAGACGGAAATAGTCTCGACAGAAAGTACTTTTCTCCGTTTCAGGATGCAAGTCCATCGTTTCATATGTTGTCTCCCTTTATTGATAGCAACCCTCAACGGTAGCACACCATTCAAGTTGTTATGGGGTTGGGAAAGTTTTTGTGGAGAGAAGTGGACATTTCTTGAGTTTTACTAAGTTTTATTTACTAGTCGATCTACAGATAAATTTATTCGACACATCCTTGCTAAATGACGATATATTCTTTTTTCGATAATCACGGACTGCTCAATTCATTCTTTAATGTTATATTCGTGTCATTTGGCATCAATGGACCGATTAAGCTATCGAATCCAACGCCTGGCTCTCATTCCCTCATTCTCCTTAACCTCGGTTCACGAAGGTGTAGCAAGTGGAACAGCTCACTTTGATGCACGGTTTGTTAGCCGAGTCGGTTTGTATGTGTGACTGACTGAATTGTGTTCATGCCATTGCAAATCCATCTAATATTCAACCACCTTCGTGTTCAAACTTTTGAACAACTGACAGAATACTAGTAACAATAACGATAGCAATTTTATTATTATTATTGTTATTATTATTTGTATGTGTGACTGAATTGTGTTCATGCCATTGCAAATCCATCTAATATTCAACCACCTTCGTGTTCAAACTTTTGAACAACTGACAGAAAGAATACAACAATAACGATAGCAATTTTATTATTATTATTGTTATTATTATTATTATTAATAGGACTCCTTTATGACTGGAACGGAGACACAATTAAATAAATCTCCGAACTATGTCATTTTCGTTACCTTGTTATTCACTTTTTGATGCACCTGCAGTGACATCGATATCGGCTGTACTTGATACCCTAGTCGTCTGTGTTGTGTACTCTCAACGTCAAAAATGATAGTACTGAACGCTCTGGATCAATAACTGAAATGGGGAGTATACGAGAGACATAGCACTGAACCTGAAATGATAATCAACGCTCGTTTACTACATACAAGCGCATTGCTTATAAGGTAACATACAGGCAACAAAGACATCAAAACGCTGGTTGACATCAGACGGCCAGTCGGTTTGACGGTTGGAGGTCTAGATATGAAATGGTAATGCAATAGAGTCTATGGAGTAGGAAGCATCAGAATGTTTCTGGTAGATTTCGCTGGATGTTATGAAAATGAGAATATGTCCAACGTAAAATAGAAGGCAATCCGGAAGCCACTTCACTGGGAACATATCGCGGCGCAACCGAGTATGGAACTTGCTTGGAGGAAGTTCGAAGTAGTAACAACCAGTTGTCTCTGATCTATCGCCCATGTAGACTGGTTTCAACAACATGGTTAGGCAGTGAGTATTTTCTTGTGCAGCACGAACTTCAGTCGAAGAGTGGCTTTTTATGTATTGTGAAGTGAGTTTTCGCGAACGTTCGGATAATTAACAATGGGCCACTTCTCACGAGACTGGGCGAGGACTGGTTTCGGTAAAAGTGCCTGCTTTCGCGGGTGTAGAATCGTTCCTGTTTCATCTCGTCAGGCTTTCATATTCATTTGATGTACAGAAAACCATCCAATCTCTCGAAACATTCGTGTCAACACTGACTTTGTTGTCTATGATGTCTATGATGATGAGACTGATCTTTACTGAAGACAAATCAGCTATGTTTTAGCCAGCAGCATTTGGTATGCATTTGTATTTTCTCGCGCAACACAGCTGCAGAAAACGCGAAGTATTGAGGTGTTGCATAGTTCCTATATACTTCATTGTTGATGGTTAGGTTTCCATTACGGAAACTGGTAAAATTATGCATACTCGTTGCTGGAAAGTACTTCGCAGCCGTCTTCAAATTCTCAGTTTAGTATGAGCAATTCAGAAATGTTTCTGTGTCTATCCATTTCCGGTTTCCATTCTGCAGTGGTGATAGTGGATTGAAGCCGACGGAGCCGGTGGAACATAATCTCAAGCACCGATTCCCTGTTCATGAAATCCCCGTTTTTCTGGCGTTGGATGGTGTAAGCAACGCATAACTGAGGACTTACGACAAAATTGATCCGACTCATTGTCTAATACTGCATCTCACAACTATGAGTGGTGCCTGTATCACTTCTTTCCTCTTTGTCTACACTCCTAATCATGTATAGTTCAGCTCATTTGCCTGTCACGCTCCGCCCATTATTGTCCAGTGAAAAGAGAACCGAAGTATGGTTTGTTACTTGCTTGGACGTCTGTTTGAATTTGTTCCAAGCTTATCCTGTTATCGCTTCAGTTGGAATCATTTGGCTGTTGGTTGCTTTAATTCGCTCTTATTTTGATTTAGGTCCTAATGAAGGACACAGGAGCACCCGCATCTGCTGAGGAAGTTCGTGAGGTGATTCGGCGTTGTCTCGAACAGGCGGCTTTGGTGAACTATACCAGGATTTCAGAGTATGCCGCGATCGAAAGTACGTTCCAGTTCTGCATATCCTGACGCATGAGATATGTCTCCAATCATTAAACTATTATTTTATATGTTCTCGCCAACTAAGACGAATGTTTTGGTGCCGTCCCCCAATAAAGCATCTATTTTGAATTACTGATGTAAGTTTATGGTATTTTTTATTCACCTGGATGCTGACTGGTGACAAAATCTCTCAACATTTTGCGCAATCGTTCGAAGTCTACCCTAAGAGTCTACTTTCTACCTGAGGGTCAGCTTCCGTCGTGGTTTGGAACGGCTACAAGTTCATGCTTCTGAATCTCTACTGTCTGCTCCGGGAGCCGCATTCCGAGTAGACTGACTGTACAACTAAATGAAAGAAGCTTATATGATACTTCCTTTGGCATGAAAAAACACTACTAACCTGTCTTCACAAATCTAAGCACTGTAGGGTTTGTGGCATGGTTGAAGTTTGCTAGCTACAGCGTGCCCAGAATGGAGCGATGCGCAAGCGAATACACGGTAACGAATCACTGATGGAGTAGCAAACGGTTTTTTGAGGTTGAAATGGTTAGGCCACACCTCAATACCGTCTACCAAGAGCAAGGTTATTTTTACTTCCGAAACGCTTGCTAACGTAACTGTGTGTGGAACAGGCAGTAACATTACAATGACAAATGTGACCTTATACAGTTAATGGGTATGCTTTGGGATCTTTGCGATCTCCTGGATGGGACCTGGGTGATTCGGCTGGCGCGTAGTTGGAAATCCCGCAGTATGTCACACGTGCCTTCGAACACCAACCGGAGTGTCTTACCGAAATTTGACATTGTGCACTGAGCTTGTGTTGCGTAACATTTGCGAGGTATGCTGGATCAGTCTCACTTCGCGCCTTGCTCTGACATAATGCTCAGAGCATTTTTCCTGTCATTTATTTTTGAAGAGCATGGTCACAGACATAAAAAGTGAATACAAGCAACGAATGCGAAAGGGTAATAGAATATGAGAGAAAAGAGAGAAACGTCTCAATCGAAGCCATGCCATCAACAATTCCAGTCAGTAAAGATGAATCCCGACGTATGTAAGAATACTTTGTATGGAAACACGCGTGTAAAGACCAGCAGCCGTAGAAAGGACAAACAATGCTGAATGCTATTTAAGGCGCGGTAAGCGCTAGCACAATCATGACTCGCACATCAGGCACAAAGTGTCCGTCATACTGGGTCTGATGTGAGGTTAAATGGCAAAAATTTACACTCAGTGCGATGTACCACGCATAAAAGTGTCGTAAGTACGTAGAGAACCCACAATGGCAAGCAAATACAAGTCACTGATTGTGACCTTGGGAAGCCTTGGCGGATTGAGGAAAACAGATACCTGAAAAAGAGAGGATCATCGGTTGATCCACTAAAAAGTCATCACAACCGATAGCACGTAAGGCTGAGGTTATTGCGGGGGAATATTCATCAGCACCATACTTCCATTTCTTCTCATCCCACACAGTCACTCCGCGCTCATCCGAAATTATGCTGACGTCTACTACTACTATTTGCAATGATGTTTCTCCCTCAGGATTCAATTACAAGGTTTCCCTAGCATTTCCCGCTGGTTTGTTGTGACTGATGTTTTCATCTCAGCTGGCATACAAAGCATAGTAGCTTAAAAGCAAAAAGCAGTGCATGAATTTTCTGCCGTAGCCATCCTGAACATGGGGATAATGGAGTGTCGTCGGGTAGGGGGAACCTTAGCTGTTTTACATCCTTTGCAGTATGGAGATGCATCATGCATTTGCCGAATAGCAATGACAAGGTTTTCGATTCAACTTTTACCCTTTCGCACCAATTTCACCAGCTTTTCATTGGTATAGGAACTATCGCTGCCTTAGCTTGCGTCGCTAGCTTAATCGATCTAAAGTAACTATGCTGTCATATCTTTTGGTGAATCCTGAAAAGGCTGCATAAATCCTCTGAGGAAGTGGAGGTGGTCTTGCTTGATTGACTCCAATAGAATCTTGACAAGAAATGCTTGCTGTGGGCTCCCTTGAAGAGTGATTCATTTGCGAAATGGGTTGGATTAACAGCGTCGAGTCTGGTTGACTGATACTTGTAGCTACGTCAATGTTAATGAACTATGTGTAACTGGTATGAATAAGTCGAACCACATGAAAAACCCCTTAGTTTGAGCAATACAGATTCATTCCCTACATATTTCTAACGCCTAAACCAACGCCACTGAATCCCAGACTCTGTTGCGTTTATTACAGGTCTCACTCTTTTGACTTAATAGTTCTCTGTTTTCTTTTTGGTGAACATTGGAGACCCTTTGTTTCGCACTGAGTTTTCCACTTTTCTAAGACACTCAACTTCTGGTCAATCGCCGTCCCTGGTTTACCTTACGTGACCCCAAGCATGTGTCCTCTTGTTGTATCAGGCCTTCTGACATCTTTCGATCATTTTTGGCGTTCATATAGCTTAGGAAGACACTGTTACCAAACTATGCTCCAGATCAACATATTATTTTTATAAAAACCTGTCTCTTTTTTAATTCCACTTTATAACAGTTGTTGACTCTCCTGTACTCTCCGCTGTTCCGATTTAATTCCACTCTATTTTAAATAACTCCAACTCCGATCGGATTGTGTTCTTCGGTCGAGGGATTGGAGCCGTCTTTTACTCCATTAAACTCATGAATGGGAGATAACTATTAGTTATTCAGTATCCCTGTACATTTTGCTAATCGGAAAAGAGGCAATAGAGTTTGCAGCTCATCCACCTGATGTGCATCCTCTAGGCGGCAAAGATAAAAGCCTATGGTAATTCACTATTGATAGCTGAATCATAAAGGAAATCGTATTTTGCCACTCTTTTAGCAGCTTTTCAGTATTTTGATTTCCAGGGCAGTGAAACCGGCGTGCTATCATTATGTGTATTTACCTACTAACGGAGCAGTGTTCTCTATTTTCCTGAATACGCATTGTTTGTTCGCTTTTCGCGTTGCTGAGTTCTGTGGAATTTCGCTACTGCATATTGACTTTTGTACTTTGGGTGATGCTTGAAACGATTAGGTTATTCTTATTTATTTGGCTGAGTAACTATTTTGATTGAGTGCTGATTGGAATGCTGTTTCCTTTGACCTGACGTTGTTGATGGTGAGACAGCCAAATTTCCTCTCCGTTTGGTGCCACTTCATGTTAGGAAGAAGGAACTCCATGTGCCTTGTGAAGCTGTTTGCCGATTTTAATAACGTCTGGTGTATTTTTTATGTGATTTTTCAATCGGATATTACTTGTCGTAGTGAAATAGTTATATCCGACGTTACCAACTGTGCTCCTTGGCCCTGAGCCTAAGCTTTTCAAAAACTCCGTTTTTATTCATTTGGTGAGGAGCGTTACTTCTCCCGTCATGAATGTTAGGAAAACGGTTGGTGAATTTATTGATGGGTCTCACCAAAGGAGCAATACCATACATTGGTGGTTTTTATTCCAATTCATTTGACCTCACCATTATTGTTTATCAACTTTGCTTATTATTCGACCAGTTCCACCAAAATGCATCTTGTTTACATGTGGCGCTGTTGGTGATTAGAAGCAGAGTTTGTCGAAAATGTTCTATCTGTGACTGTGTTATTTCTATCCTCCTTAGGACGTGAGTGCGAAAACTAGTGAATGGTATACACCTGACGCCAACAATATCCATAAGGAGTTGCCACCTTGACTTGGTGGTCAAATGTGAGTGCTGAAATGATCCGCCGGGCTATGTCGGCTGGAACTCGGTTTCCCCAGCGTCTAATCGTGCGTGGTTGGTCGGACAAGGCACCGAAGCCATCGTCCTATGAGCAGTCACATCATATGTATGTGCAATTTAAATAAACCAAAAGTAGTTTTCTTTTAATTGAGAAAACACGATCCAATGGATGGTTTCACCTTCCATAGTCACTGTGAAAATGTGCACCAAACAGCTCTTGTTGGAACCATTTTTGCTCATCTTGCCTTTTAAGCCTAGCTCGGTCTTGTGCCTCCAACGATCCAAGATATCACATTTATTCGGTTATCTGAAGATATTGGTGCAATAGCTTGTGCATCTTTGGCGTATAAGTTACAACGAACTCCACTTGTGAATATGCTTTATTGAACTGAATTTCGGTAACGATCGCCTTTGTGTTGTACTTCCTCGTGTTCGGGCATGTTCCTAAGGACTGAAGCTCCGAAGCTGACGACTGATGAAATACTCTTTGACGGTGGTCTTATCTGAAAATAAAAGTTCATTCAGCAAAGGTACGCTTCGCCAATCGAATATGGCACTAGATGAGATCTGTGTATTAAATACCGATAGCATCCGCATAGTAAGTTTAAGGTAGATATTTAAACTGATGTGGTTAGGCCTCCACACAAACTTCTTCCAAGATGGAACTTGTAACCTCCAGGGAGCTACTGCCCACCCACAATGTCAGGTAATCATTCCAGGTTGCTCACGCAAGCTGCCAAAATACAACAATCAACGCTTCTGTGAGAGTGAAAATGAGCGCTCACCATGGTAACAGGGTAAGCAGAAACCCCAATTGATAATCACTGCGTTCATTCACCCACTCAAGCAGTAGTCAACATGTGCACCGGCAAGCCAAGCGATACTTCGTTCAGGATGCAGATGTCAGGCCGTAAATTTACCGACCGATTGCCGAGATACTAAATTACGCAAATTTCCCCTTTTAATCCACCGGACCTAGAAAATTTCCAACTTGTCCATTAATTTACTCGCGCATAAGCCGCATAAAGCTTCTACACCACGTCCTCACTCTGGCGACCTTCAAAAATTGACGTTTCATCTTCTGTATTCCTTTAGGACCGAATTTACCACAGGGACACAGCCTTATCCGATTCGAAATGCCACTGGCTTTTGGTTGGTTCACTGAACACTGTAGGTCGAGTAAATCAGGTTTTGTGTTTACGCATCCGTTCTAAAGAGAGGTTTACTTCGTCACATTGATCTGCGTTACCGTTCTGGTCATATTTTAAAATAGGTTTATTTG